TCTTTCAGACAAGATTTACACATTTTTTTAATTGGATTTGGTTGGAGAAATGTGTGAATCCTGGGTGAAAGTTGTGTAAAAAAAACAAAACATTTTTTTAAACAGACCTTACAGTGTCATCAAAATGAGAAGTGAGTGGAAAGCCTCCCTAATGGGAGACGGCAATTGAAACCTTATAACATTATAAGTCATTTCCCATTCTTCTAACAAAAGAAAGGAGAAATCATGCTGAAGCTACCGGTAAAATGATTGTATTGCCATATATGCTGCAATCTGATTGTACAATCCCATTTAGATTTACCAAAACTGTAATATTAGGACACATCTAAACAATCTCTTCCATGAGTAATAATAAATGAGCCAGGCCCTTGTACTACATAGTTCACTGTAGATCTAAAAGAGATTATACAATCAAATTGCAATGTTTGTGGTCAGCCTAACAGGGACAAAGCTTCAAAAGCCTGACAGTTTGTACATTTTTATCCCTTTATTTGAAGGGGGGGAGGTGTAACTGCAGATCAAACAGAGACTATGATGACATCTGCCTTAACTGTAAAGGATGAGAGGGTTTAGTTATAATAAAACATTTTAATTAGTTTTGATGCATTTATGCACTGATGGTCAACTTAAAAATTATAAAGGGCCTCGCGTTTGGCCCCCTACACTCCCGGAGGGCCGCACAATAGCAGTGCTTTGTGTACCTCAGCGCTCAATAACTTTGATCCTGCTGCATTTTTTGCAGTGTATCCCAATGCACACTGAAGAAACTGGAGTACAAAAACCCCCAGCATTGCTTCCAGCGAATGCAATAAAAAAAACCAGCATTGGTGTCAGTGGACAAAATAACCCCCAGCATTGGTTAGAGCAAATGCAATAAAAAACCCCAGCATTGGTGTCAGTGGACACAATAATAATCCCCAGCACTGGTGTCAGTGAAAGTAGTAATAGCCTCCAGCACTGGTGCCAGTACAATTAACCTTTGCCCTTACATTGTTAGTTCAGTGAAATTTTTTACCTCTACCATTGGCGGTCATGGCAGAGAAAGTTAACCCCCCCTTCTTGCATTGGTGGTTGTGGTATTAAAAGGTTTAACAACCCCCCTTTCTGCCTGCATTGGTGGTCATGGCAGTCTCTCTCACAATTACAGTCTCTTTCAGTCCAGGCCCTGGGACACAGAGAGTGTCCCTGACACCCCACTGCCACTATGTCGTGCCCAGTAGTCCATGGGCCACACGTGAGGGCTGGCAGGCAAAGTTCTGGGCAGTTTAGATTTGTTACTTTTTTTTATTTATTTTTACATACGAATAAGCTACCATAATGTATGCCATTTCAACTAAGCAAATGATGACAAAAATTTATCAGCAAAGGATACTTGCAGTGAACTTAGCATGACTTGATCAGTAGATCCAGAGATATACAGGTGAAACTCAAAAAATTAGAATATCGTGCAAAAGTTAATTTATTTCAGTAATGCAACTTACAGGTGAAACTAATATAAGAGAGAGACTCATTACATGCAAAGCAAGATAGTTCAAGCCGTGATTTGTCATAATTGTGATGATTATGGCTTACAGCTCATGAAAACCTCAAATCCACAATCTCAGAAAATTAGAATATTGTGAAAAGGTGCAATATTCTCGGCTCAAAGTGTCCCACCCTAATCAGCTAATTAAGCCATAACACCTGCAAAGGGTTCCTGAGCCTTTAAATGGTCTCTCAGTCTGGTTCAGTAGGAATCACAATCATGGGAAAGACTGCTGACCTGACAGTTGTGTAGAAAACCATCATTGACACACCCTCCATAAGGAGGGAAAGCCTCAAAGGTAATTGCAAAAGAAGTTGGATGTTCCCAAAGTGCTGTATCAAAGCACATTAATAGAAAGTTATGTTGAAGGGAAAAGTGTGGAAGAAAAAGGTGCACAAGCAGCAGGGATGACCGCAGCCTGGAGAGGATTGTCAGGAAAAGGCCATTCAAAGGTGTTGGGGTTTTTCACAAGGAGTGGACTGAGGCTGGAGTCAGTGCATCAAGAGCCACCACACACAGACGGATCCTGGACATGGGCTTCATATGTCGTATTCTTCTTGTCAAGCCGCTCCTGAACAATAAAACAACGTCAGAAGCATCTTACCTGGGCTAAAGAAAAACAGACCTGGTCTGTTGCTCAGTGGTCCAAAGTCCTCTTTTCTGATGAGAGAGCAACTTTTGCATCTCATTTGGAAACCAAGGACCCAGAGTATGGAGGAAGAATGGAGAGGCACACACTGCAAGATGCTTGAAGTCGTGTGAAGTTTCCACAGTCTGTGTTGATTTGGGGAGCCATGTCATCTGCTGGTGTTGGTCCACTGTGCTTCATTAAGTCCAGGGTCAACGCAGCCGTCTACCGGGAGATTTTGGACCACTTCATGCTTCCTTCCGCAGACGAGCTTTATGGGGATGCTGACTTCATTTTCCAGCAGGACTTGGCACCTGCCCACACTGCCAAAAGCACCAAAACCTGGTTCAATGACCGTGGGATTACTGTGCTTGATTGACCAGCAAACTCGCCTGACCTGAACCCCATAGAGAATCTATGGGGCATTGCCAAGAGAAAGATGAGAGACATGAGACCGAACAATGCAAAAGAGCTGAAGGCCGCTATTGAAGCATCCTGGTCTTCCATAACACCTCAGCAGTGCCACAGGCTGATAGCTTCCATGCCACGCCACATTGAGGCAGTAATTGCTGCAAAAGGGGCCCAAACCAAGTACTGAGTACATATGCATGCTTATACTTTTCAGAGGTCCGATATTGTTCTATGTACAATCCTTGTTTTATTGATTGCATGTAATATTCTAATTTTCTAAGATTGTGGATTTGGGGTTTTCATGAGCTGTAAGCCATAATCATCCCAATTATGACAAATCACGGCTTGAACTATCTTGCTTTGCGTGTAATGAGTCTATCTCATATATTAGTTTCACCTTTTAAGTTGCATTACTGAAATAAATGAACTTTTGCACGATATTCTAATTTTTCGAATTTCACCTGTATGCAGCTGAATCTCAGCATTTCTCAGTGCTGCGGTCTTGCTCTGTCCCATCCCCTTCTACGTCCTAACCCTGGTAATTGGAATGGAATGTTCCTCATCACTTTAAAAGAACCGACAAGATGGTGCAGAAGTTAGGGTTCATCTCCACTACCATCAAACAGAGTGGGTTTTGAGTTTATTTTCTGACTCTAAAACATCAAAAAACCTCCTTGTACAACCACTACAAGACAATTGATAGGCATGGTAACCACAAAAGTGGTAGTGTTGGGCCTTTCAAAAAGAGCAGCAACATGGTGCAACCTTCCAACTTCCCATCCCAGGGGCGGTCACACATTTTTCAAAAGCTTTAAGGCCCCGTTTGCACCTGTGCATCCCGCTAACATGCTTTTTTTTTGGATGTTTATTGTTCAACAACATTAAGCAGCCTATTCATTTTAATGGGATGCCCTACTTGTGACAAATGCAGCAAAGAAGCTCCTGCACCTTTTCAGGCAGTGAGTCCCACGGGTTTTTGTCAAGAGAAAATGCAAGTTTCCTAGCTGCATTTGGGATACCATTAACGGTTCTGTGCGCAGTCCCGTGACATGTGAATGGGATCTCAAAAATGAGCTGTGCTTCAAACCATTTGTGACCAGTGAATATGTAATGCTGATGAAGAAAAGCCCTTAGGAGGGTGAGGCGGAGTCCACCTGTGCAGGAAAAGTTGATATTGATGCTCCTGTGGCAACAAGTTATGTGATCTGGTGTGATAGAGGATCAGAGTTTATGTGTAAATGCACATTGGTTGTACATTAAAGTGGTTGTAAACCCTTTCATATACCCAGTGAAGTGACTGGCCTCAGGTGATACACAGAGATGAAACAAATCCTCCTACATAAGTTGTACCAGTCTTTCTATATATCCGTCTGTCCCCTACATCCAATCACAGTGCAGAATTTACACAGGATCTCTCAGTTCTGAAAAGCAGGTGGCAAGGAGCTGAAATTACAGTGAGGAGAGCTCTGATTGGGCGGGAATGGACATACCCCCTGCACACAGGAAGAGAGCTGAGGCTGTCAATCACAGGCTGTGCCCTCTCCTGTCACCATTTTCCTCAGGAAAACTAATCAAAATTGACTCATGCAGAGAAATGAAGCAGCAGACAGAAATAACACTTAGGGGTTTATTTACGAAAGCTGGAGAGTGCAAAATTAGATGCACTCCTGCATAGAAACCAAGCAATTTCCAGGTTTTATTGCCAAAGCCTAATTGAACAAACTGAGGTTAAAAGCTGACTGGCTGCTATGCACAGGTGCGCAAGATTCCGAGTGAACCAGTTTTAGTAAATGTACCCCTTAGTGCCCTGAAATGAGACAAGTACACACTATAGAGGGATATGACTTGTTGATATTTCAGGTCTGAGGTATGCAGCCACTTTAACGATTGTTCCCTAAGCCCCTTTAGCTGCATGTATGGAGGGTTCCGTATGCCTCTGTTGAATGTGTACTTTGAATGAAAATGATGGTTTGAGCTTTTTCTTCCTGTTTAAAATCGAAGTTTAGACTTTACCGTACCCCACCTTTTAAATGCTGCCCCCCTATTGCCCTTCATACATTTTAGCATAAACCATATTTTACACAAGTTATTTTCTTCATTTTTCTATCTGGTTACATGACCGCAAAGACCCACCTCTAATTTGTAGCTGGTGGGGGGAAAACCTCTCTCCCTTCCACTATGCCTAGAGCAGTGGACACCCGTGGGAGTTGTCACTGGTCTACATAATTCAAACCCGCTGTCGGCCCCCCACATTAAAAAGGAGGAGTATGGTATAGCCAAAGCCCCTGTATTAGAATGAAGAAACCTGAAACACCTGCATATGTTGACATTTACTTCAATAATTGATCTTCCTTTGTGTGTACAGCCATGAGAGCGGGTTCCTAGATATCATTTTTTTTTTTTCCTATAAACCCTTTTTTTTTTTTTTTTTCCTTTGCAGATCCACGTTTGGTGTTCTTCCAGGCATTTGCCCTTTTTGCCAGTGTCCAGGCCTTGACTCCAAGCCACTCCCTGAGCCACACAGATGTGGAGAGGCTTAAAGAAGCTCTAGAACTTCCATTGTCTGACTTGGAGAACGCTTATTACTACATTGTGGGATTTGAGCACCTGGGTGCCAGCATAGCAGATGAAAAGGTGAGTGTGCCAGTCACAGAGGCCTTTTGCCACGTGATCAGCTGTGTCCAATCACAGCTGACCACTATGTAAATACACTTGCCGGTTATTGGCAGTACTTTTCTCATGCTGTCACAGCGTCAGGAAAGTACTGCTGGTAACTGTCAAAGCGGACATCTGCCCTGATTATCAGTGCCCGGTAGTGCCGCCTATCAGTGCAGCCTCGTCAATGCACATCAGTGAAGGAGACAAATTACCTGTTTGCTAAATTTTATAATAAAAACAATGAAAAACCTTTTTTTTTTTTTATTTTATTTTTTGCTCGTTTATAGTGCAAAAAATAAACAACCAGTAGTAATTAACCGCTTCCCACCCACCCGCAATATACTGCGGCAGGGTGGCAGCTACAGGCAAAGTGATGTGCAGTGCTCCCCCTTTATGACTGCTGTGTCCAGCAGAATGAAGATCCCGGTGAACAGGACCCGGTGATCACAATGTAAGCAAAGCTGTTATGAATCAATCTCATTCATAACCGCTCTGCTCCTCTTCCTAGTGAGCTGCGATTGGCCCACAGCTGTCACGTGATACATGGGGCCAATCACAGCACCCTGTACCATGTGACCAGCTCCAGCCATCACAGATCACTATCCTGAGTTGTCAAAACTTAACTCATTTATGACAGTTCATGAATGAGTTAGGTTCATGACAGCAAGCTTTCCATTGCAGGAAAAATGATCTTTATTTTTCCTGCAAAGCAAAGTTTAAGAAAAAAAAGAAAACCCTGATCACTCCCCCCCCCCCCCCCCCCCCCCCCCCCCAGTAGAACAATGTTGTTACTATGGTAACATTGTACTATTCTGATATGTATTTATAAAAAATAGTGGGAAAAAAATGAATAAAATACCATATTGAGAATATTTTAAAAAAAAACATTTTTAAGAATTTTTTTTAACTACTCGCCAACTGCTTACCCGCATTTTGCTGGCGAGCAGCAGCTCTTGGCAAAGCGACGTAATCTTGCGTCACTTCCTTTTTTGGGGTGTGAACGCACCTGTGCCCTCAACACCCAATCACCCCCCGCTGCCCCCACACACCCGTCGGTCCAGGGAGAGAAGAGAGAACACAGCACCGAGTAAAATCACTACATTTTATACACACGCGTTAGATTAGCACATTTAACCCTTTGATCGCCTTATTAACCCTTTGATCACCCCGTCACCCAACTAGTGCCGTTAGTACAGTGTCAGTATATAGAATTTTTCATCGATCACTGTATTCCTGCCACTAGTGACATCAGATAACGTCAGGGTCAGCTAGTGTTATATTGCCCGCACACTATTGCACTCACCCTATAGGTCTGATCACCACCATTACTAGTATAGTGTTTGTACGGATCAAGATATTGATCACGTACAGAACTATACTAGTGCCGCCTTTGTATAGTGTCCCCAAAATAGCAGCGTTAGCAGGATTGGCCCCGTTCGCTGCCAACACAAGCGTTTAGCCCCTCCGCTGTTTTTCACAGAAGATTTGTATCAATTGATTGTGGGCCAAGGCAATTTATTTGCAACAATACATCGCTGCCCACCCAAATTCAGCTCTTGCCAAACAATTCTCATGGAAACTTAATATAATAATACAACCTTTCTGTCATCCTACCCGTGAATATACTTAACCAAATAATTCCAAATTAAATAGATAAATCAATCCATACAAAAATCAATAGTCACTCAAGTGTCCAATTAAAGTCCAAAAATTCAAGTCCGAAAATTCCCTAAGTCAAAAATATATACAAAATAAATCCAGTAGGAAGGATTCCAATCCTAAAATAATCCTCGTGATACCTCGAAAAAAAGAAATACTATATAGTGCATTATCTTCCAAATATTTAAATACTCTTATAAAGTGCAAAATCAAATCTGTGCAAGTTCCAAACCACTCAAATCGTGATTAATGGTGATATTACAAAAAAAACTGCAAAAAAAAAAAAAAAAAAAAAAGAAAAGTAAATTATATTTAAATATAGTAATTATAGTAAACCGTGAACAAAATCAAATCTTAAGGTGAATGCTTCTTTAAGTGAGCACTTCAATAATTCTGTGAACACTCAGTGACCACTACAATTCATACAGTGAACACTCCGTGAACAATCCAAGTAGTGATACTAAATACCATTACCCTCTGGGAGTATTCATAGGCTTAGCTAATATCTCTGGTAACAGTATTGCTTTCAAATTCTTTCACTTCAGGAGTCCATCCTGGATTGTTCACAGAGTGTTCACTGTATGAATTGTAGTGGTCACTGAGTGTTCACTGAATTATTGAAGTGCTCACTTAAAGAAGCATTCACCTTAAGATTTGATTTTGTTCACTGTTTACTATAATTATGATATTTAAATATAATTTTCTTTTCTTCGCTGTTTTTTTTTGTAAGATCACCATTAATCACGATTTGAGTGGTTTGGAATTTGCTGTGGGCAATGGAACTGTGGATCTAGCACACTGGAAGACAGATGAGAAATTGTTGGACAAGGTTATGGGTTTCTGACTGCCCATCTCCAAACAAGAGGGTGTCTGTTACGGGGTTTTCCTGTACCAGTGACAAGTTTCTAAGAGTGGATATCCTCTCATTTCCTGTTTATCCAGAAAGGGAAGAAAATCTCCACAGTGGATTAGAGACAGAAAAATCTTACAAGGGTTTATCCCATTCCCCTACTTTATCCAAAGAAAGAAATACAAATATTGGCTGTAGATATGGTTTAAGCATTAAAATGGAGCTCCAGTCTCTGGTGAAAAAAATAAGTCAGCTACAAAAACTGTAGCTGCTGACTTTTAAAAAAACAGCCACTCACCTGTCCCAGGATCTAGTGGCGTCCTCATCACAGCCGGTTGCCCTGTGTCCCCAGTGCCACAAGCTGTCACAGCCAGGTGCCCACTGCACATGTGTGAGGGGTGCTGCGCATTGTGAATGATTCTGCAGTCCTCTGGAACCTGTTTCGTGTGCTAGAAGACTGCAGGGGGAGAGATGCTGTGAGGAAGTGGAGAACTTCCGCTTCCGTTTGCCTAGGCAATCGCAGCGGAAGTGGGAGCAGGTACCTGTCAAAATTGGGTATCCGCTCTCAAAAGGTGCCAATCTTTAACGGGGAGTGGGGGATGAGACCTTAAAGGATAAGTTCATCTTTCGTAACATGTTACACCCATATTCAGGGTGTAACATGTTACGAGCAGACCGGCCCCCCCCCCCGATCCCTGCTAGCTGTCAGATCCCCCACTAGCTGTCAGTTTTTTGTTTTTTTTTAAAGTGGCTGTATGGGGCTCTGCCCACATGACCGCGTCACTCATTCACAGTCATCTGTGAATGAGACTACCAAGTCAGGACCGCCTTAGCGTCTGTCAGCTTGTAGTCCTCAAGGAATTTATACAGCACTGTGAAGCGCCGTGGTAGTTCATTCATTCTTCCTGTCAATATATCTGCTTGCTCGTACATCCTGTATGAGCAAGCAGATATACTGACAGATCTGCAGGAGACCTGCATGCTACCAGCAATCTCTGACTGCTGCTGCAATGGTTTACAGGCTCCTGCAGACATAAATAATTAATGCAAATTTTTTTTTTATCTGCAAAAAATGTGAACTTATCCTCTAAAGTGCAACTTTTTGGTGGAGCTCCGCTTTAAGGGAAACATGTCATGAGATAAACATGCAGGATGATGATGCTACCCTTAATTCCAATCCTTGGAGAATGTTTGGGGTTTTTTTTTTTTTTTTACTGATTTTCTTGATCTGTATACCTTTTTGGGTCAATGACTAAGGTTAAAAGAAACACGTGATGTGCGTTAGGTGCAGTGCAATGAACAAAAAAATCCTGCTTGCATCTTTCGATGCAGTGGAAAATTCTTGGAGAAACGGAAAAAGGGCGCACCGACCTAGTGCATTATCGTTTAAAATAATTTATTAAAGAAACAAAAATAGGTATCATACTCACAATGGACATAATAACACAGGTATGTCAAACTGAACAAGACGTATGATCCAAACAACATCTGAGTCCATACGATGGAACCCTGGATGTATGGACTCAGATGGTATGGACTGGATGTTGTTTGGATCATACATCTTGTTCAGTTTGACATGCCTGTGTTATTATTTATGTCCATTGTGAGTATGATACCTATTTTTGTTTCTTTAATAAATTATTTTAAACGATAATGCACTAGGTCGGTGCGCCCTTTTTCTGTTTCTCCATTTGTATCCAGTGTATTCGGACCACCCCGGTCTGTTGATGGCAGCAAGCAGTGCATATTCCAGAACATTCCTGTTGGGTCTACTAAGTCCTTTCCTAGCGCAGGAGTAAAGTGTTTGTTGTAGTGGAAAATTCTTGTTATGAAGAGTCCCGTGGGAATGCACCTAAAATGCATGTAAAACACTCCATACAGAGGTAAACTGGTCCTTACACTTCATTGTACATATTTAGACTATAAATTGTCCGATTGGTATATTGTTGTTTACATAGTATATGGTAAGCATCGGTTCTGCTCTTCTCCATAGGCTGCCTGTGATTTCATCCGCTCAAATGCAGACACTAGTAACGTGGATTCGCTGTTCTATGCCGCTCAGTCAAGCCAAGGCCTGAACAACTGTGAGGTGGGTAACATGGTAGAATCAGTTGCTTTACTTTTTACATTATTTCTATAGCATGGTGGTCTGATACAACAAGTGCATTATGACCTCAATCTTCATTTACAGGTACCTATCTCCAATGAAACTCGTGATTTGCTCCTTGGCGCTATCAGTGAGGACTCCTCAGTCACCCAGATATACCATGCAGTGGGTGCCCTTAGTGGCTTTGGCCTCCCCCTGGCTTCGCAAGAAGTAGTCAGTGCCCTTACCACCAGACTGAGCAAGGAAGAGAACGTCCTGGCGTAAGTAACTGTTGCATGCTTGTGTTAACTGGAGGAGAACAGTGAAGTTTCCCTTCCAGCTTTAATTTTTCTATCTGCTGTAGAAAACCATTACCTGGAATGTAGTTATTGGCATTATTTACACTTTCTTTACATACATATGTTACTTTGGGGGGGATCAGCTAACCTTCAGAAGGTTAGGTTTTCCCTTAGTTAAGATGACAGCCCCTGCTGCATCTGAAGCAGATTGAAGAATCGGCTTGGGTGAGGACATCGCTGGATCCCTGGATAGGTAAGTGTCCTTAAATTAAAAGTCAGCAGCTACAGGATTTGTAGCTTCTGAGTTTACATTTTTTGGAGGAAGTCTGGAGCTCCACTTTAAATTAAAAAAAAAACTGTTAGACTTTAGAACTGCTTAAGGCATATTGCATGTATCAATTCTTATGCTTCTGGCTACAAAAGTAGCATTACAATTAAAACATTTTTTAAACTGGGAACAATTTTAATGTTGCATATAAATATGTAACAGTTGCAATTTCTACCCAGCAGATGGAATTCTCAATTGTCAGGCTACGTTTAACTGCTGTACTGAAAAAAATACAGTTAAAAGAGCTGAATATGTGAAGAAACAGTTGTATGCATGTGAATAAAATAGAAGTGTTATTGATCCCCGCTTTCCCTGCCCACTTTGTAGGGCTCCATATTGCCATAAATAGGAGAAGCTACTGTTGTGCTGTTTTATTTAGAAAACTCAAAATGTTCGGTAAAACTGTTCTAAAAGCAAAAAATAGCAAATGCACATTTTGTTGCAGGTAAAAAAAAAAGTGCATTTACTATTTTTTGTTTTGAGAGCCTGGAAAGCATTGCACCTGTGATCAGAAAATCGCTGGTGTCATGCAGGACTCCTGCAGACCAGTCAATGTATCTGTGTGCTCGCACTTAATAGGGATCAATAAACTACCACAGTGTTCAACAGCGCCGTGGTAATTTATTGAGAACTACAAGCCGACAGAGCTTGTAGGAGCGGGGGCGGTCCTTTGGTATCATGTTACACCCTGAATATGGGTATAACATGTTTTTTTTTTTTTTTTTTTTTTTAAGTCCGCAAACGTGCAACTATAACGAAAAAACCCGTAAGTGTTCACAAAAAACGTGCAAGTGCAAAACACCACACGAAAAAGTGCACTTAGGGGTGTGCTTTGTCCTACCCCCGAAGGGGTTGGACCACTACCCTGATCTCCCGAGGCACGAAGCTCCTGACAGGGACAAGGTTCCCATTTGGTCCTCCTGGCCAAAAGGCCTGGTGGACCACCGTTCCTTGTGTCCAGCCGAAGCCGGACACCCAGTACTTGGTCAGGGGGCTCTCCCGAAGAGAAAACCCCCTAGGGACAGGGGAGGAAGGAACCAAACGGCCACACATCCTCCCCCTAGACTTCAGGGCAGGCCCGAGGACCCACACCCTCCATCCTGTGAGAAAAACACACACAAAAGTAAAGAAAAAGTGACAAAACGTGGGAGGTGTTAAATTAAATAAATAGAAAATAAAAAAGTGGTCGTGCCAAATAGTGCACAGACCAGGCCCTGAGGCCTGTAGCAAAAATTGCCCTGATCCTAGCCATAAGGCCTGGTCCTAAGGGCGCTGTGCAGAAAAAGTGGTAAATCAGTGACCATGTGCCATCTTCACACTGTGGGGTCCCACACCCAGGTGTTACTAGTAGCACCCCTGAGGCGAGTACTCAGGGGGCACTGGTTTGCAGACTCTCTGCCTTCCCGACCCCTGGCCAGACAAGGTAGATCCGTCCAAATCAGGAGGAACTGGGTCCTTCCGTCTCCTCGGGGGAATTACTCCCAGGCCCCAGCTACGTGTGGGCGTCCCGTTTTCTGTCCCCCCGGTACTAGCCGTCAAGACCCCCATCATACCAGTGAGGGTACTATACAACAGTCATCCCCGCAAAGCTAGAATGGCCGGGAGCACCCCCACTGGACACTGATAAGAACAGATACTACACTTGATCTTAGCCAAAAGGCCGAGAAGCAATATGGGTATAACATGTTACAAAAGGTGAACATATCCTTTAAAACGCACTTTTTTGTGTGTAAAGGCAGATTAGAATGCCTCGCTCACAGTGTTCAACAGCGCCGTGGTAATTTATTGACAACTACAAGCCGACAGAGCTTGTAGGAGCGGGGGCGGTCCTTTCGTAACATGTTACATGTTACACCCTGAATATGGGTGTAACATGTTACAAAAGGTGAACATATCCTTTAAAGCGCACTTTTTTGTGTGTAAAGGCAGATTAGAATACCTCGCTGCTTTTTCCTTTGGACCAAGCCGTTTTTTTGCATTTAGCCAGCCACCACTTATTGGAGCTTTTTGATGCTTCTTTAGTCTTTCACATCATCCCTGATGGAGGGGGGGCATTATCTGAAATGCGTAGGCTTTTGGAGCAATGTCAGAACTGAATTGTTGCAAAAGCTATATTTTCTGTGCTTTTCTATTTAGAGTTTTAGCACTTGTGTTTGCCACAACCCATTTCTGATTAATGTTCATGCTTTCTGGCTGTATGTTTGCTAAAGAGCACCAGAGAAATATTCAGAATGATTTGTAGCTGTTTGAGATGGCCCTCTGGTAGGAGGTTTAAGTGTAAAAATGTAGTAGCTGACTGGTTCACTTTAAACCTCTCCTGGCTCAGTAGCATCACTTTGGCAGTGTTTGCGCCTGACATTTCTGTTGAGCAGAGTTGATGGATTACCACCATTTATTATTGCATGTTGTGAAATTAGTGTTATGCTTAGTATGTAAGTGTGTTAGACTATTGGTCCCTTTTAGGTTTTACAGCCCCCGCTGCTGTTTTGCGCACAGGGGCCTTCATGATGAATGCTAAGAGCTTGTTTATGCAAATGAGTTTTGAGTGGCCCCAATTTACAGTTAACCACCGTCATGTGTTCTACCTTGGCGGGACATTAATTATTGTGTAATTTTGATAATTATTCAGTGCTGGCAGCTTGAGTGAAATATTCCGGCATATTCTTCAATGAAGAAACTGCTGCATCTCGTTTTGTTGTCGTAAAACTGTTCACAAAGGGTCAGAATTATATTAATGAAGTAGTCTTCATTGTATTTGTTAAAATTCCAAAGCTTGACAGCTACATCCTAGAGACAGAAAATATTTTTTTTTAACGTGGAAGCCGCTGGGCACAGTAAATTCAATATGTAGAATTTGAAACATTGTAAACAACACAGGTCTCTCAGCATGGACATGCTGCTTTGTATCTCTCTGTGCAGCAGAGAGATACAAAATAGGATGCCTCCCTAGTAAAACAGCACTCACAGGAAAAAAAACACACACAGCACACAGTTAACCCTTTGATTGCCCCAGATGTTAACCCCTTCCTGCTGAGTGTCATTAGTACAGTGTCAATGCTTTTTTTTTTTAGCACTGATCACTGTATTAGTACAGCAGAGAGATACAAAATAGGATGCCTCCCTAGTAAAACAGCACTCATAGGAAAACACAGCACACAGTTAACCCTTTGATTGCCCCAGATGTTAACCCCTTCCTGCTGAGTGTCATTAGTACAGTGTCAATGCTTTTTTTTTAGCACTGATCACTGTATTAGTACAGCAGAGAGATACAAAATAGGATGCCTCCCTAGTAAAACAGCACTCATAGGAAAACACAGCACACGGTTAACCCTTTGATTGCCCCAGATGTTAACCCCTTTCTGCTGAGTGTCATTAGTACAGTGTCAATGCTTTTTTTTTTAGCACTGATCACTGTATTCGTGTCACTGGCAGTTAGTTCCCCCCAGTGTCAGAATTCCCACTGCATTCCCGCTATAAGTCGCTGATCACTGCCATTACTAGTATAAAAAAAAAAAAATTCCAGTATGTATACCACCATTTGTAGACTGTATAACTTTCAGGTAAACCAATTAATTTACATGTGTTAGGATTTTTTTAGCAAAGACATGTAGCAAAATACATTTTTGCCTACATTAATGATGAAATTTTATTTATTTATTTTTTTTATTGGATATGTTTTGCAGCCAAGTGTCAAAAATATTGTTTTTTGTAGTTTTTTTTTCAATTGTTAGTTTTTATTGTTTATAGCACAAAAATAACAGAGGTGATCAAATACCACTGAAAGAAAGCTCTATTTGTAGGAAAAAAGGACATACATTTCTTTTATGTACAGCGTTGCATGACCGCGCAATTGTCCGTTAAAGTAATGCAGCGCCGTATTGAAAAAAATAGCCTGGTCAGGAAGGAGGGTAAATCCTCTGGAGGGCAAGTGGTTAAATTAGTGAAAAATGTGATTATCTACTATAACCTTTCCTGAGAGAAACTAAGAGGCTGCCATTATTAACTGTCCTTTCAGCACTATTAGATGCTTGGCTGTCAGGTTTAGCCTCAGGCTTCAATACATTGTCCTTAATCTGGAGTAAGTATGTGGATAAGAACTTTTACTTTACTGATCTGGAGGTGTGTTTGAGGTCAGTGATTCATAGTATGAAAGCCTGATGATTGGCATACCAGCCAGGCAATTAGTATTTTTAGGAGAAGGTCAGCGATGACAGACTCTGTATGTCTTCAGGGAAGACTTTACTTTAAAATGTATGGCAGGGAAAACTAAAAAAAAAAAAAAAAAAAAAGTAAATCTCTACAATACAGGCACATTTCCCCATGTTTTGTAAATTATTTTATGTAAGCCTGTGAACAAGCAAATTATCAAGTGTCATAAAATTAAATGTTCATCTGCTAAAACTCTAGTGTGCTCCTAAATTTGTATTTAAGCTGACAACACCTTTAGGGAGATTTACTAAAACTGGTGCACTCAGAATCTGGTGCAGCTGTGCATAGTAACCAATCCGCTTCTAACTTCAGCTTGTTCAATTAAGCTTTGACAGTGAAACCTGGAAGCTGATTGGTTACTATGCAGTGTTGCACCAGATTCTGTGTGCACCAGTTTAGTAAATCTCCTCCAGTAGCTTTGATGCTCTGAAATCTCAAGCAGTGTTGTCACTCCTATCTGCTGAGCTGCATAACTTATACACACATTGAAATCCTGAGGAGTGTTGTCAGTCCTGCCTGCTGAACTACAGAATTTGTACACTCAATATCTTTACCAGGAAAACAGTACTGCTGCCTTTACTCCTAAGAGCCCATTCACTCGGTGTGTGTAGAGAAAGGGCTGTAGGAGATGTGGTTTTGGGGCACATCTTAGGAACTGACCTAGCCGCTTCCCCTGAAGCTCAGGCTAGATGATGAAGTTGCTACAAACAAGGCAAAAGAAAAAAACAACGTAAAGTTGGGACATGCTCTGGTTGGGGAAAAGGCAAGTTAGGGGTGAATTTGGGTAGTTGATGCACCCTTTTATTCTTGAGCACACACCAGGTCTTGCCATGGGTAATAATTGGCATGTCATGCATGTGAGCACAGGCTTGAAAGGGGAAATAAGCGGTATTCTATGACTAGGCCCGCTGTATACTGTGTGCACAATTATTAGGCAAGTGAGTGTTTTCAGCAAATCATCATTTTATGCATATTGTCCAACTCCAAGCTGTATAAACTTGAATGCTTATTGGATTTAAGCATAGCAGGTAATATGTATTTGTGTAATGAGCAGGGGCGGAATGACCATTTGGAAACATGGGCCCGGGGTCAGTAGGGGGCCCCATGAGATGCCCCTGGTACCTTTTTCATAGGCTTTTTTGAGTTTGGGCAAGGACACAGGGGCCCCATGATCCCCTATTGCCCGTGTGCCCCATGAATTGTCAGTCCGCTCCTGGTAATGAGGGAGGGTGTGGCCTAAGGAGATCAACATCCTATATCAAGGTGTGCATAATTATTAGGCAGATTCTTTTCCTCAGGCAAAATGGGCCAAAAAACTGACTCTGAAAAGTCAAAAATTTTAAAAAAGTCTTGAAGGGATGCAACACTCTTGAAATTGCTAAGATCACAGAACCATCAAACGTTTTGTTGCAAATAGTCAACAGGGTCGCAAGAAACATGTTGGAGAAAAAAAGACACAAATTAACTGCCAAAGATTTGAGAGAAATCAGATGTGAAGCTACTAGGAACCCATTATCCTCCAGTGCTATCATTGCAGAACTGCAGCCTACCTGGTGTGCCCAGAAGTACAAGGTGTTCAGTGCTCAGAGACATGGCCAAGGTAAGGAAGGCTGAAACCCGACCACCACTGAACAAGACACAGAAGTTAAGATGTCAGGACTGGGCCAAGAAATACCTGAAGACAGATTTTTCAAAGGTTTTATGGACTGATGAGATGAGTTACTCTTGACTGACCAGATAAATGGGCCCGTGGCTGGGATCCGTAATGCAAGTGTACAATCCAAATGCACACGTTCCTGCGTTAAAAATGGCTGTGTGTATAAATGAGTGCTGCAGCGACCGTCGGCTGGAACCAAACAAAATCAGCAAGAAAAAATGTCACCAGCACACCGAGGATCACCAATATGGGTCCAAAGGTTTTAATAAACGATCACATAGTTACAGCAAGGCAACGTTTCGGAGTTTCGCAGGACCCCTTCATCAGGCATGTAGTCACAGACGCCAACAAGGTGGAGGTGGGTACTAGTATGGGCTGGTATTATTAAAGATGAGCTAGTTGGACCTTTTTGGTTTGAAGATGGATTCAAAATCAACTCCCAAACCTACTGCCAGTTTTTAGAAGACACTTTCTTCAAGCAATGGTACAGGAAAAAGGCTGCATCTTTCAAGAAGACCATAATATTTATGCAGGACAATGCGCCAACACATGCATTGAAATACTCCACTGCATGGCTAGCCAGTAAAGTCCCTAAATATGAAAGAGTGATGACATGGCCCCCTTCCTCACCTGACCTAAACCCTATTGAGAACATGTGGGCCCCTCTATAACCGGGAATTTACGTGAAGGAAAACAGTATATCTCTCTAAACTGTGTCTGGGACGCTGTGGTTGCTGATACACAAAAAGTTGACCGTCAATAGATCAAGCAGCTGAGAGACTCCATGAATGAAAGGCTTATGACTGTTATTGAAAGGAAGGATGGCTATATTGGTCACTGATTATTGTTTTTTTCAAATGTCAGAAATGTTTATTTGTAAAATTTGAGCTGTTTATTCTCACTTTAACCACTTGACGTCCGCCCTATAGCAGATTTACTGCTGCAAAGCATATGGAGGTTCTGTGCAAAATCATGTATAGAAACGTGATTTTGCATTTCCACCACTGGGGGGCACGTGCCTGCCACCAATAATACATCTCTATGTAAACAAGACAGAGCTGTGTTATGTCAATGGGGATCTGCTAGATTTTTTTCGGGGAATAAAATTTAGCAGTTTGCCTGGTAAAAACTGCACATAGTCAACACAAACACTGGCTAGGCACACAGTTAACCCTTTGATTGCCCTAGATGTTTAACCCCTTCCCAGCCAGTGTCAATACAGTGACAATGTATATTTTTAGCACTGATCACTGTATTAGTGTCACTGGTTCCCACATAGTGTCAGTTAGTGTCAGACTGTCTGCCGCAATATCACAGTCCTGCTACAAGTTGCTGATCACTGCTATTACTTGTATATTAAAAAAAATTCCAGTGTATATATAGTGCCATTTGTAGACGCTATAAATTTTGTGTAAACCATCAGTATATGCTTATTGGGATTTTGTTTGCCAAAAATATGTACCTGAGTACATTTTGGCCTAAATTTATGAAGAAATTAGATTTTTACATTTTTTTTAATTGGATATGTTTTAGAGCAGAAAGTAAAAAATATTGTTTTGGTGTTTTTTCATTTATAGTGCAAAAAATTAAAATGCAGAGGTGATCAAATACCTCTAAAAGAGAGCTTTATTTGTGGGAAAAATGTCATAAATGTATTTTTTATACAGCATTGCATGACCACACAATTGTCAAAGTAACAAAGACGTAACGCAAAAAATGGCCTGGTCATGAGAGGGGTGTAAATCTTCCGGAGGTCAAGTGGTTAACAGATGAAAATAAACAAGTGAGATGGAAAACTGTTTGTTTTTCTTTTAGTCGCCTAATAATTCTGCACACTAATACTTGTCCAATAATTGTACACATTTCTCCTAAGAAAGCCAAAACCTCACTTTTACTTTATTAAATATTCAGGTTTGAGGTTTATTAACATTTTGGATTGACTAAGAGTATTGTGGTTGTTTAATAATGAAATTAATCTTCAAAAATACAACTTGCCTAATAATTGTGCACAGAGAGTGTTTGCGCAGAAAGAAGGCTGGGAATGTCGAAGGTGAAAAATTGTAATTTAAGATGTACTGATTCGGTGCAGAGGAACAGGGACAGGCAGAACATCACATACTCTTTAAATGATTGCCTTATAACATTACTACCCTTCAGGCTACGTCAAAGCCAGTGACACAAAAGCCCCAAGGACTTGTTACCAACATTGTCATCAAAGCTGCCAAACCAAAATACTTCCTGCTCTCTGACTCAGTTGAGGTGCAGTACGTGGCTAAATATTCACTCCTACAGGCTGAATCACCAAAATCTGCTAGCTCATTAAGTTGTTTAACATCTGAGTTTGTTTAATTTGTATAATGCACACATCTCATCTCCATATGAATGGAATCCCTAATTTCCCCTTATTCCTGAAAAGGAAAGAAAATGCAATTTACAAGCGCACATATTGCTGCTAAAGATTCCCAAGTGACAGCAGAACAGTGTACTTACCTTTCGGGGGGGAACTCTGCCACCGTACATGGTAATAACTCTGAACTTCGTGTCCCCCTCCACTTCCCCTGGGAAGCCCTGTGCATTTATCATGGAAATGAGGCTGTCACGAGCAGAAAAGTAGTTTACTTTTGGGCAGATGACTTCCCACGTAAGACATACATGTTACATGCACAGCAGATGTTTTGTACCGTTCAGGATTCTCATATGCATGAGAATGCACTTGTGATGGCAAGACCGGAGGGAGTGATGCTAATTGCCTTTCATAATTGGTCCCATATACCAGTGTATCTTGAAGTATTAACCCTAAGCTGCATTTTCCACTCACGTTTATTTGTTTTTGTCTTTGCAGAACCATTGAAGCTCTGTTAACTGCCTCCATGCTGTCCCAGCAAGCCGACCTGCGTGGCATTGTGGAAGAAATAGAAGTAAGAAAATCTGTGTTATAGAATACAGTTCGGAAGTCTTATTTTCCTAACTATATAGGAAGAGTGGAGTGCTCACAATAAACATGACCTTTTTAGTACAAAACTGACAAAAAAAAAGCCATAATTTTTTTTTTTTTTCTTTTTCCAAAATAATTTCTAAAGTGCAGCCGAAAAATGACAGCTGAAAATTGATTGGCAGCGCCTCCGCTTATAAATATGTGGGTAAAAGCTGAAAATTCATCAGTTTTCACCTGCCCACAGTACATTTACTGCGGACGGGCGGCATGGACTGGCTCCCTTAGACACAGTGGATTGTGGTAACCAGCCCTTTTAAGCAGCCGGGATGTCACATGATCGCTAGGCAATCACATTATCTTAGTGTCAACACAACTGTTGTGAATGGGTTTCATTCATACGTGTTGTGCTTAGTATTGTGATGCTGTGATTGGCCCACAGCTATCACATGGTACAGTGGGCCAATCACAGCACCCTTTACTATGTGATCACAGTAGTAAGCACAGCTGTTATGAATGTAACACATTCATGACAGTTAAAAACAGTGCTTTTACAGTGATTATCACTGTAGTAGCAATCAAAGTGTAAGCTGTGTGATCACTCCCCCAGAGTAGTACAACATCTCTATGGTGACACTGAACTACTCTGATCACAGGATGTAACAAAAAAAGAAAAAAAATGTTAAAAAAAATATTTAAAAAATGTAAATAATTGAATAAAAAATTATTATTTTCTTTAACATATGATTACCAGTTAGTATCCCTGATCACCGCCACACCAGTCATATGACGCTGTACTGGCCTGGTGGCAGTATGTAAAAAAAATTGTGGGAAAGAAACTAATTTTATTTAATTTCTTAATTTACCAAAGAATTATGAGGAAAAAATTACAATTTCAAAAAACTCGCTATACCTGTTACTAAATACCTTAGACTGCTTTCCAAAAAGGGGTCATTCTGGTGGTATTTTTACAGTCCTAGCGATTATGACCTCAAGAAATGAGATTGGGTCAGTCCTGATATATTGACAGCCTTTTTCAAATATACACTGCTCAAAACAATTTACGGAACACTCTGAAAACACATCAGATCTCAATGGAGAGAAATATCATGCTGGGTATCTATACTGATATGGACTAGGTAATGTGTTAGGAACATAAGGATTCCCCATCGTTTGATGGAAATGAAAATTATCAACCTACAGAGGACTGAATTCAAAGACACCCTGAAAAAGCGAAAAAATGATGCAGCAGGCTAGTCCATTTTGTTGAAATTTCATTGCAGCAAGTCAAAATGGTACTCAGTAGTTTGTATGGCCCCCACGTGCTTGTATTCATGCCTGACAATGTCGGGGCATGCTCCTAATGATGACAGATGGTGTCCTGGGGTATTTCCTCTCAGATCTGGACCAGAGCATGACTGAACTCCTGGACAGTCTCAGGTGCAACCTGGCGGCATGGATGGACCCAAACATGACATCCCAGAGGATGTAGGTCAGGCGAGCATGGGGGCCATTCAATGTTATCAATTCCTTCATCCTCCAGGAACCTCCAGGAACTACCTGCATACTCTCGTCACATGAGGCCGGGCATTGTCCTGTACCAGGAGGAATCCAGAACCCACTGCACTAGCTTAGGGACTGACAATGGGTCCAAAAATGTCATCTTGTTACCTAATGGCAGTCAGGGTGCCATTGTCTAGCCTGTAGAGTTCTGTGTGTCCCTCCATGGATATGCCTCCCCAGACCATCACTGACCCACCACCAAAACGGTCATGCTGAACGATGTTACAGGCAGCATAACGTTCTTCATGGCTTCTCCAGACTCTTTCACGTCTGCCACATGTGCTCAGGGTGAACCTGCTCTCATCTTTGAAAAGCATAGGGCACCAGTGGTGGACCTGCTAATTCTGGTGTTCAATGGCAAATGCCAATCAAGCTGTTGTGCTGGGCAGCGAGCGCAGGGCCCACTAGAGAACATCGGGCCCTCAGGCCACCCTCATGAAGTCTGTTTCTGATTGTTTGGTCAGAGACATTCACACCAGTGGCCTGCTAGAAGTCATTTTGTAGGGCTCTAGCAGTGTTCATCCTGTTCTAACTTGCACAAAGGAGCAGATACCAGTCCTTCTGATTGGTTAAGGACCTTTTACAGCCCTGTCCAGCTCTCATAGAGTTCCTGTTTCCTGGAATATCCTCCATGCTCTTGACTATGCTGGGAGACACAGCAAACCTTTGGCAATGGCATATACATATGTCTCATTGTCCATCTAGTGCACATATTGTTAATTTCCCGCTAGAGGCCACATCTGAAGCCCTGGCCTCAATTTCGGATCCGCTGCTGGTACTCGTGGGTGAACCAAGTCCTCTTTGCCGGCCAATCCCGCCGGCAAAGAGGACTTGGCATCAGAGACATCCCTGCAGTCATCCGCTCCGTCTCTGAGGAATGCTGAGCTCCTGTGTTGCTTGAAGTCCATACTGCAGACAGAATTATCCTCCGCTATCTCCAAGTTGGCAGACAGGCTCTCGTGAGAAATTCGGGAGCTGGGTAATCGGACGAACGATCTTGATGTTAAAATGGACGCTGCTGCCATGGTCATTGAAAGCCATAAACAGGATCTGTGTGACCTTAAGAAAAAATTGATGGACGCGCTGCTCCTGCTTGAGGATTTCCAGCCCCAGCAACCTGCGCTTAAGGGGTATCCCGAAAACCGTTACGGATCTCACCTCAGATGCTACTGCCCTGTTTCAGGAGCTGACGCCCGCCATTCCCATTGACCGGCTCGAATTTGACCGCATACACCATGCATTGGGCCCAAGACGATCGGAGGGGTCCCCAAGAGACATTATCATCAAATTTACTTATTACCGCACTAAGGAAACCTTCCTCTTGGTGGCCAGAAACAATCCAGACCTTTCAGGGGCATTGCTATCAGCTCTTCGCGGACCTCTCCCAGATCACTCTTCAGAAGTACCGCCATTTGAAGCCCTTCACTTCGGTCCTGGTGATTCGCAGAATTAAATACGCATGGGGCTTTCTGTTTCGCCTACCAGGGCTGTTGCCACGCCGGAGGAGGCCCACTTTCTCCTGGAATCCCTACACCTTCTTCTGCCATGAGGCGCTGCGCAGAGTCCGGCGCATTCATCTGGATCTCCAGCGGGGCCACTTCCTCTGGGCCGCCTCTGGTAGAAGACATCCAACAGGAAGAGGGTTCTCCCTTGCACTCCTCTACGATCCAATCTATGCTTCCCCGGGCTGAAGTTGTATCCAGGACTCCCTCCATTGTGTTTTCATCGTTAACTCCTTTTGACGGGACTGTGAGTTTGGCCTTTTAGGTTTTTCCAGTTTGCTAGCGTTTCATAGTTGGGCCCCACCTGGACTGCTCCCTTGGGTTCCATCCTTGAGTGGGGGATTACCTCCTGGACTTGAGGTCTCTGACTTTTGGCCATTGAAGAATGTCACAGGTCCCGGCGACATTGGTTTGGTTCCTGTTAGCAGACCGGGCCGATGGTCCCCTCGGGCACCAGGGGGAGAAATTGGCTCAGGGGGGTCCCTACTCGGTGCTAGGATGACAGCCCTGCTGGGACGCTGGAGTGTGGGAACATCTGAGTTATGTTGTTTAGGTTTCCTTACGGCCTGTAGTCATCAGAGGGGGTTGGGCCCCCAAGCCTAGCTGGGTTTCCAATGGGCAGGCTTCCGCAGATGTGATCCACTCCCGGGACTCTTCTATTTGATAATGTGAGACTTCTTTATGTTTGTTGCCATTTGCCCTCTGAGAGCTTATGTTTCTGATGTATCCATTTGCAGCCATGTGTCCGGGGGTAGAGCCACCCCCAACTGGTATCCTTTGAGTGTAGGATGCACTTCACCATTGGTGTGATGCGATTTTGCTGCTGTACATTTTTTTCTGTGTTCTTTTCCTCCTTTCTTTTCTTGTCTTCTTTTCTTTCCTGGTTTCTCCGTTTTTGTTTTATGCAGGATTTCGGGACGCCATGGTCCGACTGTCTTTGGGAATGGAGACTTAAGCCTTTTCTGCTGAGCGGATTACGCCAATCCTGCCATTGCTTCACTTTTTTTTGAAAATACATTCAAAAATATCCAAGACTTTAATTTGCCTCAGAAGTGGTCTAAAGTTTTCCATCACCTCAAATTGCAACAAATTGACGTAGTATGCTTGCAGGAAACAAGGTTTTCCCAGTCCTCCTCCCCATGGTATCTTTCGCCTAATTAGCCCTTTTACATGGCCTCGGCATCGGCTCCTGAGAAATGACGGGGTGTTCTGATCTTAAACGTAATCTCTCCTTCATCTGTGCTTAGAATATAGCGGACCCCACAGGCAGGTACTTGCTCCTGTAGGGCACCCTCTGGGACCAGGAGGTTACGTTTGTCTCTTACTATGCCTCCAATCACTTTTAGCATAAATTTTTCCCATCTCTGCACTATCGTTTCTTTTTCTTCTCTTTTTGGGGGATTCAAATGTTACCTTGGATTCCGCTTTAGACAGGCGCTATGCCCGAGGGGTGGCCCCTTCTCATGACTGTTAGAGGGACATATTCGCTCTCTTTTGCAAACTGCGGGACTGGTGGACGTTTGGAGGGAACTTCACCCAGCTGAGGGCGACTTTACATTTTACTCAAATCCCCATAACAGTTTCTGCAGAATTGACCACGTATTTATGCATGTCCAACAGCTTCCATTAGATTGATATCTATCCCTTCCTCGCCCTGGTCAGATCATGATCGCCTGGTTCTACTCCTTGCCTTATCGGGGTCACCACGGCGTCCTTTTCAGTGGCACATTAACTAATCTTTGACTACTTAGGTCACCTGCCAACAAATAGAATCTTTCATACATACATATTTTACAGAGAACTCGGGATCTGTTTCTTCGTCAGTGCCTCTATGGGAGGCGCATAAGGCCACAGTGCGGGGCCACATTATACAGCTGGCTGCGGCCAGGAGCGGGAGCGTCATCTTTCAGACCTCCACTCTTTACTAGCCTCTGCAGATGCTCGTTGGAAGTCACACCCATCCGCAGCTCATAAACAAATGCGGGACGTCTGGCTGCAGAATTGGACCTGTTTGCTTCGGAGGCTGAACAGGCCTTGCGTTTGACCAAACAGATTTTATACCTGTGCTAATAAGCCAGTCCGATGCTGGCTAGGAAACTCAATTCTGTGGGGATACCCCACAAACCAGTCTGGTTACGACTCCCTGCAGGGGGGCTGCACTTCCAATCCCCAGCAGATCGTTTCACGTTTTGCGGACTTCCTTTCACACCTATACGCCAAACCAGATCCCTTCGCATTCTTTCAAGATCTACAACTTCCTGGTTTGTCCGAAGCGGCGCAGGTTACGTCAATGAATTATGACAGGGCTCTCTTTGCCCTCTCCGGACATGCTCAGAGCTCATATCTCAATGATTCCTACGACAACGGATGATGTGCAGGAACCTCAAGCCTTTCAGCCCATTTCTCTTCTTAATGAAAATATTGGGCAAGATTCTCAGTCTTTGTATCAATAAATATTTGCGTAGTTTGGTTCATAGTCGGTTTCGTCCCTGGGAGACAGGCGGGTGATACTGTTCATAAGGTGGTCCACCTTCTACAACAGCGGAAAATCCCGGGATTCTTCTTGTCCCTAGACATATATAAAGCTTTTGATTCCCTATCCTGGGAATACCTGCAGTTCGTGCTGTCTCGTTGGGGATTCTATTCTTTCTTGGATTAAGGCCTTATATTCTTCCCCTTTGGCTTCGGTTAAGTATGCAGGGAACTTCTCAGACCCCTTTTCTATTTGGCAGGGGGCGAGACAGGGATGCTCCCTCTCCCCGGCGCTTTGTCCTGGCGCTTGAGCCACAGGCTGATTGTAACGTATTGGCTGTTCCATACGCGGGACAGGAATATGAGTTGAACCTTTTTGCAGACAATGCCCTCTTGACTCTTACTAATCGCTTGACGACACTCCCAAATTTGCACGTGCTCCCTAATTTCGGGTCTCCGTATTAATTTGGATAAGACTGTCGCTCTCAATATTACCTTGGCCTCAGATTTGGATTTGCGTTTACAGTTTCACTTCCTTTACCAATGGGCTTCTTCTTCACTTGAATACTTGGCATCTGCCTGACCCCTACCTATGGCTCTTTGTTTGCTGCAAATTATTATCCCTTGCTTCATTCTGTGTCCTCTCTTATTCAGACTTGGCAATTCCCGCACTTGTTCTGGATAGGATGGATCAACTTGGGGAAAATGACCATCCTGCCTAAGTTGTTATAATATTTCCTCACTCTCCCAGTGCAGGAGGTCTTGGGGTGCCTAATGTAGCTAAGTATTACCAGGCGAGCCAGATTGCCCCCACTTTCTATGTTGCACGCTTCCTCTTTGGTTCCTTTTGGAACTGCCTAATTGTGCCCCCATTGCGACATCGACGCTTTTGTGGTCATGCTCGAGACTGATTGTTTTTCAGTCTCGTGTATTTGGCCTTCTTTACACATTGTTCCATCTCTCCATACGCCGGGAGGCTCAGTATGCTTTGCTTCATTGTCCCATGCCGGGCCTGTTGGTCCATCAGCAGAAGTTGGCTTCCTATTTGTTTTTGTTTGTCACTAGAACAGTTGCTCAGGCCGGGAAAAGCCCGTCTGTCCCTCTTCAGGGGGTGCGGGACCGTATGACCACTCTTATGTTCAATGAACAGATGTCGAGTATCCGTAATGACTCCCAATGGAAATTCTTGAAAATATGGGAGCCGTGTTGTCATATGCTTTTCCCATGCTCCCCCCCAGCTAGTCTGGGTTTATGATGCTGTATGGTATTGGCGTTCCCGGATTTCTCCTTCTGGTCTTGTTTTCTTCTTCCTCCTTTACTCTTTTTTTCCTCTTTATTTATGGTTTGAATCTGTGAGGCAGTAGATACTTGCCCTTGGCTGGTATATTGTTGGTGTTATATCACTGTTTATGTAATTTATGTGCCTTTAATGGGCCTCTATGTGGGCGCGCCTTTTACATTGTTGGTGTTATAGCACTGTTCTCTTTATTTTTTATGTGCCACTGATAGCCCATGCCTTTTGCTCTAGTTTTTCATTGTTTAAAAAAAAAAGTTAATAAAAATCATTGAAATATAAAATGAATGAACTGCCGTTTGCAGTTTCTTTTTTTTTTTTTTTTTAGTAATTTTGTATATATTTTCATTATTCTTTTCTTGTCTGAAAAACACTGCTTTAAAATTTTTCTTATAGTCATGAAATTTAAGTTGCTTCCTACCGAATAAAAAAAAAAAAAAAATTTTACTGTGAAATTTGGTATTTTAGGGCATAGGGACGAGCCAGGGATTTAATTTCCCCCTCTTAAACAGCTTTGCTTGAAGTTTTCATGTAAACAATGACAAATTCCACTCTACATAAATCTGTTTGTTAATCCATTGCAGCTACATTCCACAGGCTTTTCAGTAATGTACTAGGTAAGACTGAAGTCTCATCACATGGTTTTGTGCTGTGTCCAGTGGGTGTAATCTGACATACCCAGACTGCATATTCACATGCCTAAGCAGTTGGTGTTCCTAGAATGCCAGATGACTGACTACATAAAAGATTTTAAAATAGTGCAGTGTGTTAAATCAGTGCCTGGATAAAAATGTTAGGTTATGTTCACACTATAACGGACAGCTTCCAGAGCGCTTTACCACTCTGGTAGGTACTTGTTGCCACTAGGGGGAAAGGGTGGTGAGTGATTCAGCGCATTACATGGCTCCTTTTTATGTGACGTACAAAATGTACATTTCATTCATGGCGCTGTGCAGCAGCACAGTGCGCTACGCTGCTGTACAGTAGCATGCAATTTTGTGTGGTGCACTATTGCAATGTGAATGGGAAACAATTGTTTCCTGTGTGTCCTTATGATGATAGACATTTTACAATGCAGTAAAGCATCTGTCACCGCACACTGTGTGAATTAGCCCTTACATTAATTTCTCATCAGACAGTGTTCTGATACACAAGAATATCTATCCAAGAGTGTTGATTTTTATTGGGTGTGTAATTCTACTTTTTAAAGGCATAATCCTCTTTTAAAAATCTAATAAATGCACCAACAATGGAGTAATAAAAAATGCATTTGGCAAAAAGTCTGGCATTCAAGCCTAATCGGTGCAACACAGAGGTACAGATCTTCTGTACTGTAAGAAGTAATGAATGGACCACAAGCGCTGTGACATCACTTCCCTCCTTCCTGTGTGCTCTGCTGAGTCCTGTGACAGATGGGACTTGTTGTTCCATTAATCTCTATATATGGATGACGTGGCTGTGTGGGCAGAGCCATGCACAGCCAAGCTGAATTCAAACATCAGAATTTACAGGAAGAGTCATCCATTGATTCAGATGTGTGTGCGTGCGTGCGTGCGTGCGTGCGTGCGTGCGCGCGTGTGTGTGTGTGTGTGTGTGTGTGTGTAGGGGGGGGGGGGGTTGGAGATGGGCTATGCAATCATGTTTTATGTTGCATGCTAAATATTGGTTTAATGTAAGACATGGTCCAAAAGGTCAACTTTGATTTTAATGATCTGCAGTAATTTTATTCTTTTTCAAAGTACTCCTCATATTATAAATATTTACATTTACTGCTTCATAAAATAAAATTTTGCTTGTTAAAAGCTTGTCTTTGTTCATTCCTCAGGATTTGGTGGCACGTCTAGATGACCTGGGGGGTCAGTATCTACAGTTTGAGGAAGGTCTAGAAGCCACTGCTCTGTTTGTGGCAGCTACTTACAGCCTGTCAGACCACGTTGGCATGGAGCCTGCTCTGAAGGAGGTAAGAGTGGGTACTGTTTTATTGTTCTGTGCTACATGACACTGATGAGTCAAGAATGTTTTGTATTGAAATGTGTCACCTTTCTATTCTCAGGAACAGATCGTCCAGCTGGTGAATGCCATCTTTAGCAGGAAGAACTTTGATTCCCTTTCAGAAGCCTTCAGTGTAGCTTTTGCGGCCTCTGCTCTATCCCACAATCGCTACCACCTCCCCCTCATAGTGGTGCCTGATGGACCTGCTGCTGTGTCTCACAAACAGCCCCTCCTTAAGGTGAGTAAAATGAGAGCTAATACCTACCAATCCGGTGACTCCTTGAAAAATATCATGAATATTGTAGAAAAAAGGCTTTTTATGTCTATATAGCTATTGTGTTATACGGTAAATTTGACGGGTAAGCTTACATGATTCTTCTTAGTTGAGAAAACCTTAAAAACATCTCTTGTGTTTAGTTGCTGGTTACAAACGTCCTCTCTCAGCCATTGACGGAAGCCAAAGTAACAGTGAATCAAGCCAAGTCCTGCAGCACCAAAGCAACAGTGTTGCAGCAGGCTTCATTTGCAGTCGCTGGGTAAGAGATGTATTTTTGTTTGTTTTTAAATATTTTGATCACTTTGAGTTTTTAAACTGTTACGGTCTGTTTATTATTGGTCTGCTACTTTTCCCCCATACATGCAGTTTCTTCAGCAAACACAAATGCTCCTGCGCTTGGGGATGGACTCGATGCAGGCTGCAACCACATTAAGAATGTCCCGGAACATGCACACCTTGCTGCCCTCAACAGACCGGGGGAATCCAAATATACTGAATGAGGAAAGAACAAAGAGAGGGCGCACAGGCCTAGTGCATTACCATAAAAAATGTTTAATAAGAAATAAAGTAGGTGTTGTACTCACAAATGACAATAAAGTCAAGGCACATCATAAAAGAACAGCTGGGTCAACACCGCGCTGAGTAACAGTCCGTAATGGGGAATGTAGACATCCAATAGGCTGACGCGTTTCGAGGACTTGCCTCTTCCTCAGAGCCAGTTACTCAGCGCGGTGTTGACCCAGCTGTTCTTTATGATGTGCCTTGACTTTATTGTCGTTTGTGAGGACAACACCTATTTTATTTCTTATTAAACATTTTTTATGGTAATGCACTAGGCTGTGCGCCCTCTCTTTGTTCTTTCCTCACGCAGTTTCTTCACCTGTGTAAAATAAAGGCCAGTAATTAGTAAGATTCTGAAGCTGATCCATAGCACACAGTTAAGTAAGTTGCAATATAAATATGTGAACCTCTGGAAGGACTTGTCATTTTATTAATGAAACAGACCACCCTGACAGACCGCAAAACCTTTCTACAGACCACACTGCCGTTAAAGTGTTACTAAACCCAGGACCCTGCATTCACTATATTTGGTCTCTTGCAGTACACAGAGCATGGAAAAGCAATTTTAGTAAATATAAACTGTTAACCACTTCCAGTCCGGACACTTTCACCCCTTTCCTGTCCAGGCCAATTTTCAGCTTTCAGCGCTATCACACTTTGAATGACAATTGCTCGGTCATGCAACACTGTACCCATATGAATTTTTTAGCATTTTTTTTGAGACAGATAAAATTTATTTTGGTGGTATTTATTCACTTTTATTTTTTTTTTTTTTGCTATATAAATAAAAAAAAAAGTCAGAAAATTTTGAAAAAAAGTGTTTTTCTTATAACATTTTGCAAAAATAATCTTTCTTCATAAATCTTGGCCAAAATTTATTCAGTTATCTTTTTAGCAAAGAAAAAATAACCCAAATTAGTTTATAACCAAAAGATATAATTATAAAACCTTTTTTTTTTTTGTCACCATAGTGAAACTGTACTACTTGTGGGGGGTGATGAAGATTTTTTTTTTTCTTTTTTACACTGATTGCTTTTACACCCATAAAGGCTGTAAAAGCAATTATTTCTCCTCTCTGGCTGCATTCTTACAGCCATTGAAAAATACTGCGTGAGCTGTGATTGGTCACAGCTTGTCACATGGTACAAGGCTGTTGTGAATAGCGTTGTACCATGTGATCTCTGTGATCATTCACAGATTTCACACGTAGTAAGCAATGATGTCAGAAGTGACATCTTGCTTACTACTCTTCATGTGATCACTGATTGGCCAATCAGTGATCACATGATTGGGACCTCAGACAGAGGTCCCGTACAACGATCGGTGTTCCACTGTGTCCGGAGGATACAGCGGGCACTGGATCGCGGTGCTTCGCGCTCCCAGGTAGTGCTCACAAGCAGGGGCGGGGAGGCCGTTTATAAATGGTCACCTGCCCCTGCACTGCTCCCATCTGGGTTTATATACATGGGCCGGACGGGAAGTGGTTAAATATCTTTTCTCATCAACAGTTAGAGTAGTCTTGTGACTTCTGTCAATGTCCAGCTGAGCACTGGCTAAAGCTTGTAAGAGGAGTTTTCATTCTCCTTTCATTGCCCTATGAGATTGCATAACCCCTGACCCTCCGTCTGGACAGTGCTGATTGGTCCTGTGCTGATCACATGCGCACTCCCAAGAAAAAGAAAAGCTCTCTAGCAGTACACACCAAACTAAGCATGTGCTGAGTGTCCCCAAGGCTATAAGGAGATTAAATGGGGAACGTGGAAGAAGGGGAGGATCAGAGAAGACAGGATCAATTATCTTTTTTACACAGTGCGGAGGATTAACCCCTTAGGTTCCACAGTGAGTATAACAAGCATGCTTTACTGCATATACAGACTGATTTTACTGTTGTGGGTTTAGTAACACTTTAATGCTAAAATTAACTTTCCTCATCTCCATCCCTTGTGAAAGGAGGAGGGGGGCAGGCCTGGCAGCATGTCAGCAGGAGGCAGTTGCCTAGACCTGGAAGGGACAGCTTTCTCTTAGTGACATTACAGAGGTAACAGTGGCAGTGCAAAAATCAAATCACAGCAGGACAAAGCTGCACCTGGTTTGGTTTGGTAGGAAAGTATCTAGATTTGGATGAGGCAAGTGAAGTTCCTCTTTAAAAGCAAAAACAAAAATGTTTACTATTACAGTTTACTGATCCCTAAATGTGTTGGATGCATTTGTTTTCTTTTTTTAATCTTTATTTTAACTTTTTCACTTGATCTGGTCAGTAATACACTGCTTTTTTGGGGTGTCCCCGCTCTGGATTGAGGACCAGCGGAGTCACCTTTGGACAACCGCATTGTCAACCTGAGGATTGGGTAGTTTTAGACAAGTCATACAAGGTTTGAATCTCGGTTGGTTTAGCAGGAACCATCCAAGATTTGAACTATGTATGGGCATGCTGAATGTATCAAGTTGATTGATCGATCAGCTTTAGTACAACCAACCTGCTGAATTTAACATGTGATTTTCGCTAGCAATTAGTATAGCTACTATCAATAATCACTTCTCCCGGTGGGGACAGTTTCTGCCTTCTTCGCCAGGAGAACACAATGACTCAGCAGGAGGGATTCCCCTGTCAAAACTGTGTTGATGGGGAATCGCACAAATGTATTTCCTGCAACTGTGGAGCACCGTGGTAATTCATTGATTCTTCCTGTCGGTATATCTGCTTGCCCTTACATCCTGTACAGACAAGCAGGTATACTGACAGGTCTGCAGGAGACCAGCATGGCACCAGCGATCTGCTGATTGCTGGTGCAGTGCTTTAGATCAGTGGTTCTCAACCCTCCTAATGCAGCGACCCTTTAATACAGTTCTTCATGTTGTGGTGACCCCCAACCATAAAATTATTTTTGTTGCTACTTCATAACTGTAATTTTGCTACTATTATGAATCGATCAGACTGATCAGCATCCAGATTAAGTTCCCATGGTACAGATATTATTTTTTGCAGTAGTTGATGATTTTACAGTACATGATTTTACATTTACCCAGTTATTACCCAGTAATTATAATTCATGAAGTGTCGTTTTACCTCCAATACTGCTGCTTTCAACACAGTAGCTGCTTTTAACAGAGTAGCTGCTTTCAACACAGCAGCTGCTTTCAACACAGCAGCTGCTCTTTACACATGTGTGACTGGTCCACATAAGTACATTATGGCGCCAACGCTGTCACGTACACCTGTATTTGTACAGGGTGTATGTGATGGGGTTGGCGCGATGATGTCATCACGCCGGGTACTCGTATGTGGGCGGACCCGCCTGGAGACGGATAGAGGAGCAGTGTCTCGGTTCCTAAGACCATCAGAAATATGTGTTTTCCGATGGTCTTAGGTGACCCCTGGGAAAGGGTCGTTCGACCCCCAAAGGGGTCGTGACCCACAGGCTGGGAACCGCTGCTTTAGAGGCTTCAGAAATAACAGATAATAAATGCACATTTTTTTATCTGCAAAAAAAACTGCATTTATTATTTTTTTGTAAAAAGGTGAATTTTTCATTTAAAATATACTGATGATGAATTTTTTTTTCTTTATTTAAACCATTTATTTGCTGCTTACAAAGGAAACGTGCTCAGATGGTGATACAAAAGCAATCTTGCTCACATAAATAGTTCTAGCAGGGCTGAAATACTGGTCTCTCCTGGACAACATCCTGCTCCAGGTTCATGTTTAATGCTGGCCACACAGTGCTGGAGTCCCAAAGCCTTAAAAATGGCTTTGTAACCCTTTTCAGCCTGATACATGTCAATTACTTTGTTTCTCATATGTTCTTGAATGTCTTTAAGTTGCAACATGATGTGTTGCTTTTTGAGATCTTTTAGCTTGCTTCACTTTGTCAGACAGTGATTTCTTGATTCAACTGGTCTGCCAGTAATCAGGCATGGGTGCAGCAAGTGAAATTTAACTCTGCTTTCCAAAAAGTGTGGTTAATCACAGTTTAATTATGGTTTAAACGGGATGGGGGGCAATTACTTTTTTCACATAGGGCCAGACAGGTTTGGATACTTTTTTTTTTCTCTTCCTAATAAATTAAATCATTATTTAAAAACTGCATTTTGTATTTACTCAGGTTATCTCTGAGTAACATTAAAATTTGATGATCTGAATTATTTAAGTGTGAATAATGTGCAAAAAAATCAGGAAGGGGGCAAATACTTTTTTCACAGCACTGTCAGTTTGCAGGCCTGGGAATTTGTTTTCGTAATTTTTGCTGACAGGAATTATCATTGTATAGACAAGGCTGATCCTTGCTGAAGGGGACAATCAGAATTCAGATTGGTTGGTCCTTCCTTGCAGCAGGATTCATATGATCTAGTGCAGGGGTCTCCAAACTTTCAAAATGAAGGGCCAGTGTACTGCCCTTTAAATATTAGGGGGGCCGGACTGTGTCCAGAGGAAGTAGAAAATGCCCTGGCATCGATGGGAGCAAACAATGCCATAGGCTTGGTAGTAAGTGGGAGTAAAAAAAATGAATTGATTGGTGTCAGTGGGAGAATTAATACTCCGTCTGTGGTGTCAATGGGAGAAATAGTACCCCATTGATGGTGTCAGTGGGAGGAATAGTGCCCTAGCTTTGGTGTCATTGGAAGAAATAGTACTTCATATCAGTGGAAGGAATAGTTCACCAAGGGCCAGATAAAGGCAAGCAAAGGGCCACATGTGGCCCTTGGGCTGCAGTTTGGAGACCCCTGATCTAGTGCCTGCTAACATGTGGCCTGCAAAATAGAGAACTTGGAGCAGCAATTTCTCCAGGAAGGGCAACTATTTCAGCCCTTGGTTTTCCTTTGCTTGGTAGGGGTGCTTGCTTCTGCTCTAGTCTACAAAATGTTAGTATTTCTATTGGCTGATTTACCTTGTATACGTAACTACACATTTTTTTCTCCATCAACAACAGAAATACAGTTATCTCATATAAATGTATTTGTACAATATCTCAATATTCTATGTAAGATTAGGACTAGTAAAAAACAAAAATGTTCAATGTAAAGAAGGTGATCATAGAATAGGGGTGTTGCTTTGCTTTGGATGCAACAGTGTTTCTGCCTACAGATACTTGCGATGGCAAGTCTCATCCCTGGGTATAAGTGGTTTCAGCTTCTGCTATACATCACTTTGTCTTCACTGCATCTCATATATCTGATACATGTTTATTATCCCTTATTATCTAGGAAACATTCACCATTTGATGTTAACTCATGACTTTCTTTCCTTAGAGACACATTTGAATTGAATTTCATGGATTCCAAACCAGCTAGCGGGTACTACGACTTCTCTATAAGTGTGGAGGGTGACAGTCGTTACCTGGCAAATCAGGTTGAGGTGAGTATGACCTTAATTCACTGTCTGACATGAAGACCTGCGATTTATCATGTCAACTTGTCTATGTGAATGTGCTGCATTGTGTGATGTAGAGCGCTCCGAGACCCTTTTATTTCTAATGCACGACCTAATTATCCTAATAACCCACTTAGAATGCCTGTCTGTGTAAGGCTTAAGCTGTGAATGATGTCACCGAATCCTCACTTTCCCCGTTTCTTGGCCCCTTGAGATGAACGAGAGACTCTTGAATGAAATTGTGTAACTCGGTAGGACACTGTGTCCTCATTCTGCTATTTTGAACACATTTAGGATGTAGAGCAAAGCTGTCTCTTTAGCGTAGTGTGATACAAATGACAAGCTGTGCATTCTCTCCCTTAGAGAAGTAAGTAAAATTATATATAGCTATTAAAAAAAAAATTTCAGTTTTTTAATGAATAATCTTCATGGGCGTATTTATTATTAAGATTGGTAAAACAATCCTCATTTCCCCGTGCCAGCCTTACTTGTAATCCCTTTTCTCAATTTATAAAAGTGGAAAACTGAAATTTTTGATGCTGTAAAAAAAAAAAAAAAAAAAAAGAGAAAAGATGGAAAGTTTGGTAAATAAAAAAAAAAATGGTGCTACCTTGAGATAAATTGCTTCATTAGCTCCCAACAGTTGAAAAGAATGGCCTGGTTTAGAGGGTATACATTATTGATGAAACTGTTTGTTTGCAAACGTGGTGCAACTGTCTTTATATTCAGAGTCATAATAATCTGCAAAATCGTTTTTACCTTTTGTTAAATAGTTGACACTTTATTAGTTATAGCTAAACAGTAGACGTAAAGGGATCACCTTCAGTATTTAGGTACGCTGTAACATTCAAGTAATACTGTGGTAGAGAAAATAAAGTTGAAGTTGTAATCCAAAGTTTTTTGGCTGACAGCTGTAATCTGCAATGTACACTTACCTTTTCTGCACCCTTCGTTAGAAATCGTATGAAAACTCACCCATTGGAGGTAAACCTGCCCTTTGCCTTAGCTGTTGGTCATAGTGCTTTGTTTTGCGTTGGTTGAGATGAAGTAACCAACCCTATAGACCCCTGTTAATGTTGTGCCTTCTAAATCCTAACCCTACCACCAGCATGTCATATCAGCAATCTATATCCAGTGAGGCCAAGCAATGTTTTTTTTTTTTTTTTGTTTTTTTTTTTAGCCTTCAGACATCCAGTTTTGGTGATATTGTTCCCACCACTGCTACTGCAGCTACTGCAGCCAATCTGGAGTTAACATCATGGATAAATTGTATGAAGCCATCAAAGTGGGAATTTCAGTAAAAAATATTTAAAGTTTATCTAAACCCAAAACAAAAATTCTCTTCTATTGCAGCTTACCCATCCATTAGTTTTTCTCCCAGTAACACACTTCCAGTTCCAGGATGACATTATCACACAAAACTCTTTTGGTTGACTTTTGGTATCAGGACAACGTAATGTATAAATGTCAGCAGAGGCAAAGCATATAGAGAGTCAGATCATAGGACTTCTTACACAATCAATAGGTTATCAAACCAATATAACATAACTGTTTCAATGGTATATTTAAAAAAATAAAAATGCCTCATATATTTCCTTCAGAGATTTTGAATATTTTTAGACAGTAAGCTCCAAGAAGCCAGGGCCCTCCTAACCCTCTTGTATTGAACTGTATTGTTGCTGTATTGTCTCCCTTTATATTGTAAAGCGCTGAGCAAACTGTTGGTGCTATATAAATCCTGTATTATAATAATGATATTATTTTAATTATTTTTATTGTGGAGTAGTAATTGTTATAATGTTGTGTTTGCAGCTGAAGGTAAAAGTGTCCACAGAGGTAGGAATCAGCAATGTTGACCTGTCTGTTGTAGACAAAGACCAGAGTATCTCTCCTAAAACTACCAGGTAATCAAAGCAACAAAATTAGTCTTTCTTATGGTTCCATGAGAAACCTCTAGTAAACCTTCCTCTTCTCTGTAGGGTTGTGTTCCCCTCCAAAGCCAAGGGACCTTTCACTGCGGATGGCCACCAGAACTTTGCTCTGTCTTTCCAGCTTTCTGATGTGAACACAGGAGCCAGCCTGACACCACATCAGGTACATCTGTTGTAGTAACCCAAAAAATACACCCATCACAACACTGAGCAATTTAGATGCTTAAAAAAAATTATAAGCGGAGGAAAACCTTCAGTAAAAACTATATGTCAAAACAGTTGGTAAGGGCTGGCTCACGCTAGAAACGCAGTCTGGATGCATGTTTTTTATGATTTTTGATGCATTTTTGATGTGTTCCATATGCTTTTTTGGATCATTTGGGGTCCAGTGTGTTTTTGGTGTGTGTTTTACCGCATTCCAGTACAGTTCTGTGCAGGAAAAATGCAACATGTTCTTTTTTTTTTTTTTTTTTTCCTGGAACTGGAATGCACTGAAACGGCAAGCATTGGTGTGAACCATGCCATTGACAACCACGTACTTTCTGTGCATTTTGGATGCTGCAATAAACGCGAAGGAACTCATGTAGTGTGAACCAGCCCTAAATCTAGAATGTCCTTGTAAAAAGTCAACTTTAGCTCCACCCCTTCCTACTTACCTTATTGCTCATCTCAGTGGTGGGCAGCCCTACTGTCCAATAGTGAGGTACTGCAGGGCTATGAGGCAGGGCCAAGCTCAGACTTTACAAGCTGCCTATACCTGTAGATGTATTAACGATTGTGACGTGAGGTTTTCACTGAAGGTAGTCTGAATTGTCCAGGTTTGTCAAGTTTGCTTAGAAACCTTAATATGTGGCTGTGAGACAAAACTGTATTTTATGTGCAGGAGAAAACAAAAATACCTTTGACTGACTTTGGAAATGGCAGTAGGTTGTACAGTACAGGAAAGATTTTCATATGAGAGGTTACCAAAATAGAGATGATGCAAACATAGATCTTACATGATCGGGTAGGATGTAAGAGTCCCCTTTCATGAAGCTGAGTAAAGTTCATAGAGTGGAGGTTTTCCCGCATAACCACGCTGTTATCATTTTTATTTGTTTTTATATTTATTTTAGGACACCACTTTAGTCCCAGCCTCATGTTAAAACGGTTCTCAGATCAGGTGCTTTTAAACACACTTCCAGCTGCTCTACTGGCCGGGAGTGTGTGTGCGCATTTGTAAAGCCAACTTTGGGCTTTCAGGTGGAAGTGATACGATTGGCTATAAAGCCAACTGATCACTTCCACAACTGCTGCAACACCACAAATCCCTTTCTAAATCAGGTGCAGTAAACAAAAATACAAACAGTCTCCACAGATTTTGCAACAACCATTAAGTAGGAATAAACCCTTTTTGGGCGTCTGGTACCTAATTAGGAGAGTATTTGCAGTTCATGTAAATTGCTTTTGAATTTATTTGATAATATTGACCCTGTGGTTATAAGGATGTCCAACTTGTGTCTTTGGACTCTTTAAAAAAAAAACAAAAAAAAAACTTTATTTTTGTAGTAACACATTATGCTTTCTTAAACCACTATGCCCATTTCTCTGTACCTAGCCAATTCAGCAAGTATGGAATCATCTATCATCTTCTCCGAGGGGTAATTATTTACATCAGTAGACATATAACATGCCTATCGACATATCCCTCTCTTCCTTCCACATCAACAGTTTCTATGCTTTTCTGGAGGAAACCAGCACTTCCAAATTGTAGAGCTACCAATCAGGTTCTCCTCTGCACCCCGAGTGTTTAGCAAAAGTTCTTGCCCCAATTCTTGTTCTTCTGCTGACCCATGACATTTATGTCAAAGGATACTTGTACGACTTTCTTCTGAAGGACTCCTCCACTGTGACATTCCAAAGGATTATTCAGTTTCTTCAAACCTTTGGCTGGTTAATCAACTTTCTAACGTCTTCTCTTCAGCCCTCACACCGTCTGGAGTACCTAAATCTAATTTTGGACACAGCCCAAGCCGGAATCTTTCTTTTTTTTTTCTCCAGAAATGATTGTCTCTTAAAAGTCCCACATGTGAACCCTCATGGCATGGTGGAAATCCAACTCTGCCCTGTAATCAGGAGAGTAATTTCCTCCCCATGTCCTGAAAGGTGGTGACAACGGATGCCAGCCTTACCAGTTGGTGTGTATTTTGCATCAAATTATCTGTACAACACTGGACATCCCTTCCCCTTCTACAAGGTCACTCAGCCAGGGTGTAGTCTGGGTGTAGTTCTGAGTTGACTTCTGAGCTTGTCCTTCCTACCTCGTGTCCTGCTCCGAAACAAAACACCAAAGACCTTTCCCAACACTACATGGATGTTGTCAAAGTCTGCCTGGCAGCCATGGCTTCTGTTAGCAAATCCGATCCCTTTTTTGTTCTCCCGTTTCAAGGGCCATCCTACATCATGCTCCACCTCTGCCAGGTGGAGCAGATAACTTATTTCCAGGGCCTACGCCTTTTGGAATGAGTTCCTTCTTTCCTTAACAGAGCTCTCACTACTAGGTCTGTTAGTGTCTCTTGGGCTTTCCAGCATTTTTTTTTTGTTGCTGTCAACCCCTCAGTTTGCTTGCCTAAACATTTTTTACCTTCATGCAAGGGATGCATTAAGGTAAAAAATATTTAGGCTTTAGAACCACTTTAAGATAAAAAGATGTTGAACTTTGTTCCTCTTGTCACTCCTCTGCATGTTTAAAGAAAAAAAAATAGTATTTTGGAGTGTGTGGGATTATTTCAGGGTGCACTAGTGGGGAGTGTCCAGTCACCTTAAGGTAGCCAACTTACTGTACAACCCATGGTCTATAAATATGAGCACTGTGTCACTGTGATTCCATACGTATCCGTATCCTGAGCAGTTTTCGGTCATGGTTTATTCATTTGAGCTCTTCACACGTTTTTAGGGTCAGATAATATTTTTTTTTTCATCCTTAGACATTTGTTCGGCTTCACAACCAAAAAACAGGCCAGGAAGTTGTGTTTGTTGCTGAGCAGACACCAAGGGCACCTACCGGTTTGAGCTGGACCCATCTGAGAGGAAGTCAGAGTTTGACTCTGCATCTGGAACGTATACTCTGTACCTGATAGTAGGAGATGCTACCCTGGAGAATCCAATGCTTTGGAACATGGTATGTGGTGTTTACTAATGGTTTTCCATGTTCCAGCTGCAGTGAAAACACACAATTTCTATGATTGACAAGAGCATCTGAGGTCTTGCACCTTCATCTTTTAGAAACCCATATTTTAAGGGGGTAAAATAGTTTACATGATTGCAGATTAGAAAGACCTACTTTAAGGGATGGGAGCCATATTAGCCTATGGCAACACAAGCAACCAAATCTCATTGCTAGAATTAAACTGCTTGTTGTCCATCTATCCATTGTCAGCAAATTGATTCAAAAAGCTGCAAATAAGGATATTGTGAACAAGCAATTAAATTCACCATTAGCCAAAGAAATGTAACTGCACAGCACGTATAATGGGTTAATTGGCACTTAACTAAATCTGAAGATAACCTTTAACCAGTTCACACCCGGCTTATAGTCAAATGACAGCCGGGCGGGACATTCACCGTTCTGGATGGACATCACTTGACATCTTCCCGAAACGTGCCTCATGCTGCGGCATGATCTGTCACCCACTGTGTCCACTGGACACAGCGTATGACTGATCATTGTACTGGCCACTGCCGGTACCATGCGATCGCTAAAACCAATCACAGCAGATCACATGACAATTGTACACCATGGATAGCTTTCATTCATGCCATCCATTGTGTACTATCGTGTTCAAAATAAGTAATAGTGCTGTGCTTCTCAAACATCAACAAACAATCGATATGCAAAAAAACAAAATAAAAAATAACACAGTGTTTCAAATATTCCGTGAGTCTCTTCAGTTCTTTTAAAATATCACAAATATATTTTCTTCTTATATGTTATAACATCATCTTCTCAAACCAATATCTGTGCTTTATTTATATATATATATATATATATATATATATATATATATATATATATATATATATATATATATATATATATATATATATATATATATATAAAAATCATCATTTTCATAACCCAATATCTGTGCTCTTTCACTAAACACCTAAGTTGTGCTCTCACCTGAATATTTTGACATCACATAAAGTGCTTGGTCAGACAACGCTTGAGGGTGAAATGTGATTGATCATTGGAATTGATGTACATTGGAATTGATCGTAAATCAAAAAAATGCAGTGCAGTACTTTTAACTCAAATACTGTGCTACTAATATCCAACGTGCATAAACGAATAGTGAAAATAAAAATAGTGCTTAGTGACAATAATATGTGCTACATCAAATATATATCAACACATACATATGAATATCCATAAAACTGCATATATCAGTGCAAAATGAATAGTGTACACAAATATCAAATGAACTGTTCTAAATAGTGGACTGTCCCTTTAACCTCCTCGGCGGTATGATTATTTTCGTTTTTTTTGTGCTGAAAGAGGTACCATTTTTTTGCATGGAAATATGTAGTTTTTTATTGTAGGCTGTAATTTTTAGGAATAACTCATTGAAATCTGTACGAACAAGAGTCTAGTAAACATCCCGGGTAGGATAAAATTTGAAACACGAAATCATGAAGTATAATTTAATAAATAATCATAAAAAATAATAATATAATAATAATAAATTTAATTCAATAATATAATCAAACCAAAAACACTGAAATTTGAATTACAGAGGCAAATTCGCACATCGCTGAGCAAAGTCGCAAAATCGTTTTCAGTGTCTGATGACGAATTTCCCCACGAATCATTATCACTCAATTCTGCAAGTGGTTCTGATTTACTATCGCTGTTCTCTAGCCGGTCTAAAACCGCTTTTGACGTAAAGGGACGCTTTTTGGACGCCATGGACTTTTCTAAGTTTCCAGGCAGAAAGAACAGTCAAAATGCAGGCAGGGCACAGGACAAAGCAGTAGGGACAAAATGTATGTGAAATGCATTGAAACAGCAATGTTTTACTATGTAATAGTCATTTTAAAAAAAAATGACATTTTTTAAAAATTTCAAATTTGCCGCCGGTTCCGGCGCCCATACGTCCCGACGTCACAGGGACTGGAACACGGAAGCCGGATGCCGGCATCGGCCGGAGGAGATGGCCGGAGACGCTGCAGGGGACACATCGTGGGAGCGAAGGACAAGGTAAGTGCTGTAGGGACTCCCTGAGCAACGCCGCATGGTAAGCCCGAGTGTAGCTACACTCGGGAATACCGCTAAGGAGGTTAACACTCCAATATCTTCACATGTGCTTGTGCAGTATATCTCCTGTGCATCGTATACCAAATATACCATCAATAAGTGTCCCAAAATTATGATTTCAAAATAATGGTGAACAACCCCTTTAAATCCGCTGTACTCCAGGTGAGTCTGTGTGATCACGCTACTGTATACACATGTACGGTGCTCCTGTGTCACCCCTTAGTGCTCATCCACCTTGACACAGTATTGCGCTCACCTTCAAGTTTGACCCGAAATACCAGGTCAAACTACGCTTTTCCCTTTAACCTGGGATGGTATATTGGTACCAAGGTCTTCTCCACCGTCAGCACTTAAAATCTCCAGAACGCTCCACAAACATATGAAAAAAATGCTCCATATAGTGAAGTATTGCCAAATAAATCGACTTTATTAAAATAATCCAATACACTCACATTTAAAAGTGTCCACCTGGGATACCGCAGGGTAAAAAACTCACTATACTGTGTATCTGTAGAATAAAGTGCAGGATTCTCTTATCCAAAATGGCGGCATGTGCACTTCCGGTTTGCGGCTTGACGTCATCGGCGTACCCTACGCGTTACCTCACCTCATGTGACTTCATCAGGGGTAGGAATTGAATCGATTTTCAGATATATATACTATATATTATAGTACTGGCAAAATTATAAACCCTGATTTGGGTCATTTTCACCATAGAAATATAAACCGAATACAGTTTGTCCTAAATTTTGAAAAAAGATTAATTTGCTAAATTTTAGAACAGAAACGAAGAAAAACACGTTTTTGTTTTTTTTTTTTTTGGCAAAAACATAAACCGAGTGGTGATTAAATACCACCAAAAAGTTATTTTTGTGTGAAAAAAATGCAGAAAATTTAATATGGTACAGTGTTGCATGACCGTGCAATTGTCATTCAGATTTCAACAGCACTGAAAGCTGAATATTGGCTTGGGCAGGAAGGGGGTAAACATGCCTGGTATTGAAGTGATTAAAAGTAACAGTAAATGATGTTCTATTCTCCAAAAATCATCCATACACATCCACAGCTTAATGGACCTGTAATTTGTTTTTCACAAAAACTAATTCTTACTGGGTTTTTTTCAGTTTTTTTTTTTTTTGCTTTCTTGTAATGAATTCCATGAGCTCTCAAACCCTTTTTCCCCCTTTGCGTCTGTTTTGTTTGAACAACTCAAATGCAAAGATGTTTTTAAATGTAACAAATTTGAAATAAAACAAAAAAATTGGGAGCAAAATAAAAAAAAAAAATCCTAAGAAAAGGAGAGGAAGGGGTTAATTAGGGCTAATTAGTGTTAACAGAGGGTTAAATAAGGAAAGGTTTTTTTTGTTTTTTTTTAACATGCAAGGCTGTGTTAAAATTTATATGCAGGTCAAAGGTCAATCCTTTGATCAGTTATGAGTGAACCAGGGTTGTACAAAGAAGCACTAATAACATTGTAATAACATTGCTATATCTTAACCTTCATTTCAGTTCTGCAGGTTTGATTACTCAGGAGCAGAAAGATCAGCTCCTGTGATAAAGAAAATAACAGCCGAAAATTGTCAGGAAGTGACCAGAGGAGCTGCGGGGAAGGGGTGTGCGAAGCTGGGCGCTGCCCGAGGGCTTAATACATCTGCTTAGTGTTTAGATGAGGGGGGATGTGTGTAGTGTGCCCAAAGTCTACAACTGGTTAATAACAGTTAAAAATGTAATGTTCCAGTAATATATATGTTACTAAATGTTCTAGTAATATATGTGCGTGTTGGTCTCATTCAGGCTGATGTGGTGATTAAGTTTCCTGAGGAAGATGCTCCGACTCCTGTGCAGAGCAAGAACCTGTTCACTCCCAAACCAGACATCCAGGTAACTAGAGCTCCAGAAACACTGGAAATAGAAATGTTATTTATGAAGCATACTGTACGTACTGCCTGGGATCATGACTTATAGATGATACAGGTATACTTCAATCATTTTGGATCTGATGTTTGACATAGTTACATTGTGCTTGAAGTGGGTTTAAGGGGAAAAACCCCCAGAAGTTGTTAGTAGTTGTTGGATCAGCAGTTCCTGATTACTCCATATATTGGATGTTTGAAAGTGTGGAACAGAGAGCGCACAGGGGTACACACCATAAAAAATGTTATTACAAAATAAAGTATTTTGTTGTACTCCCAAACGTATATTTAATCAAGGCATAATCATAAAGAACAGCTGGTCAACAATGGCACGAGTAACAGTCTGCAATAGTGGATGGACATCTAAAAGACTGACGCGTTTCGAGGACTTGCCTAGATCCTTGACTTGATTGAGAGAAATGCATAAGACTATTGCGGACTACACATAGTTGCGGACCTGGGAAATATACATTACAATTTGCCTTGTGCATGGATGGATTTGAGCAACTTGATATACATTTTTTATTAAACCTGTTCTTATGGTAGAGAAAGATAAAGAGTTTTTTCACCACCTCAACTTGGGGTACTAAAAAAAGGTGTACACTTTTGGTTGTAGCCTGCATACTTTAGTCCATCCCCAAGCGCAGGAGCATTTGTGTTATTTCCATATATTATTATTTTAGCGTACGGCTTTCACAGGGGTACACAGCCCATTACAACATGCAGCTCAGCGCCCATGTACATTACAAATCACATAACGTTGTGGTAACTTGAACAATGGCACGGACCAGACAATGTGGACAACTAACATAGAGGGGGACCTTGATTGAGAGAAATGCATAAGACTGCTCTTAGTTGAGAGACTGGGACAATCTAGGAATATATTTGGCTATGCATGGATGGAGTCCGAGCATTGAATATACATAACCTGTTGGCAGGAAAGATAAAGACCACCACAACTTGGGGTACTAAAAAATTGTACATTTTATATTCATATGTATTTATATATAGGCTATGCAGGACTGCATTGTGGACCATTTAATAGTTGGAGGACCTATTTTTTTTTTTTTTTTTTTTTTTTTTTGTTACGCAAGTTGATAACCTAATAAAATGTGTGATTGAGATGACATAAGCAGACCCACTGTATATATATATAGAGAGAGAGAGAGAGAGATTTATAAGGATAAATGGTAAAAAGGTTTTATCTAGCTTATCTAGCTGGAGTAATCCACAGTAAGAGGATATTCACTTTTGTATTCAGTAAGAAAAGCCTGGAAAGTGCCAATATAAAAACAAGGTAATGTGTGAAGTGGCAGCAGAGTGAGTGTTTTTTACCATGTTGGAAATCGATAAATCCAAATTGCTATATGTATGAAGTAGGTTTGTGGGGGGTTTTGTTGATTTATTTTGTTTTTTCCTGAAGATGCCATAATGGTGATTAATTAAAACGAGTGATTTAATAGGTAGTTTACTATTTTTTGCTAATTTAAAAACAAATATCTGTCATTTGCAGCACTTATTCCGGGAGCCTGAGAAGCGACCTCCCAATGTCGTATCCAACACTTTCACTGCTTTGGTCTTGGCCCCGCTGCTCCTGCTCTTCATCCTTGTAAGTAGCAATGTTACCTTTTAATTCTTTATAGGAAGCAGTTTCTGTAAGACAAAAATATTCTAACACAGGAATGATGCTGAAGAATTGAACCTGGCATTTCCTGGCTTCAGTTTAACACTGTAAAAATATATGATATATATATATTTAGAGAAAGAGAGAGAGTGAATTTTTGGTACATCTCTGCAATGCAAAAATAGCTGCTGATTTGTCAGAAATTAATTGTGTACTTTACTTTCTGTAGTGAGCTCACAACAAAAGTGTCTGTGCTGCACGGAGATTTCAGTCACTGTTGTCAGCAATGCCTGGTGGACGATTGAACTTCACCTATCCTCTCTATATCACTGCATGTCCATACATTGATTTCTTTCCCAGCAAAATCTTGCTGCCTTTTACTCCCAAGAGCCTGCCATAGAAAGGGCTGTGGGGAGATCTGTTCCTACAAGAATATAACAAGCCTAATGATGATGTCACAGGAAGTAATAGAAGTTATTTATCAAAAAATAAAAAATAAATAAAATGCTAGGACATGTTCTTAAGGTGAAATAGAAGTTTGCTACATTTCAGTAATGACCGGATGTACACTTTAAAGCAATATATATATTTTTTTTTATAACACATTGCACCCTCACTTCGTCCGTGATGTATTCAGCTGTGATTGTACATTAGAGAGCTATGTAAATTGGACCCATTTACATGCAATTTTGTTAAATTTACCTAGTTAAAACAGAATTTTATTATGTAGTACTCAACAGAAAACAGAAAATATATGCATGGCACTTCATCCCATATTAAGATTCACTTTGGAGAATTGTAATGGAAATAATCAGTGAATCCTAGTAATACTATAATTTAAACTTGAAGTTATATCTCATGATACCAGTAAAATCTAAGTTATCTTTTTACCCGTTATGATGTCATTTCAATGATGGCATATTCCTTATGAAGGGTAGCGATTTCATGTATTCATATTAGCAGTATTGATATGTATTGCAGCATTGGAGAAAGGAATGTACAGGTGTAACATTTAAAGAAATACAGGACATGGTGGGAAGGATTATCCTGCCCAAGCAAACTAACAGTGTACTAATTAAATGAATTATTAATAGCTCATAACGAGCAATATAATGAACATTCCATTATAAATACTTTGACCATTTAACAGACATATATTTTTGTACACATTTTCATTGTAGTGGATAAAGATTGGTGTAAATATCTCCAACTTCAACTTTGCTCCCAGCACTCTGGTCTTCCATCTGGGACATGCAGGTATGGATCCACACTGTTAATGGTGTTTTGAGTGCTGTGATTGTTGCCTGTGTAGGTTTATGTGCTAATCATTACTTTTTGTCTTTCAAGCTATGCTGGGCCTGATGTATGTCTACTGGACCCAACTGAACATGTTCCAGACTCTAAAATACCTGGCCATGCTTGGAATTGTCACTTTCCTTGCAGGAAACCGCATGCTTGCCCAAAAAGCAGTGAAGAGGTAATATGAAAAAATAGACTGACCATTCTTGTTATGTGTTGTGATTCTACCCCTGTAATAGTAAGTGGATTCAGGCTTGGGCAACATCAGTGTTTTTAAAGTGGTTCTAAAGGTAGAATTTTTTTTACCTTTAATGCTTTCTCTGCATTAGGGTAAAAAAAAAAACCTTCTGTGTGCAGCTCACCCGGACCCCTATTATAGTTACCTAAGCCTGATCTCGATCCAGTACCGAAAGCAGCGACTCTCCCGGCTCTCTCCTCACTGGAGATCGAGGCAGCAGTGGGAGCCATTGGCTCCCACTGCTGTCAATCAGCAAATCAACTCCTATTTCTCTCCTGACAGATTCCTTTTACAGAGGCCCTGTAACCAACTTAACGCATTGTAGGTAAAAGTGCAGAACAATCAAGTTTCTAAAGTTTTTTTCTTTTCATGCATTTTTTGGCTTGCAATGTGCCTGTGAACTTCTAAGCAGGCAGTCAATTCCCTAGCACTGCCCCCTCCTTTATGCATGTCACAGCCCACTCCACTTCTGAGAGTAGCTATTTTAATGTCTGTGCTGACCCAGCTTCTCCGCCCCTCACTTCATCTCTCTCCATAAACCTTTTTGCTAGGAGAGGAGTGAAGGGGTGTATACTATACAGTGTAGTTTGAGTGGGAGCCCTTTGGTGGCTAGGGCTGCTGCTATCACATCCATGCTCAGGACTTTAGCATGTTTACTCAAGGGAAGCTTTTACAGGTAAACAACATGCTTAAAATATGTTAAGAGCACATATAATCTTGTGGGGGAAAAAAGAAGAAATATCCACGCACTAATGTATATTGTAACCAGTCCATAAGTCCCAATTAAGTCTGTAGTTGGTAACTGCTTTAGGTGGCAGCTGTTCCGGAGTGAGCCAACTCTGTATGCATAATAAGGAAAGAGAGAGAGGTGCCTTCTAAGTGCAGTATAAGAAGATATAGCTTCCACCGGCTTGCAGTGCACGCTGGTTACAGGTACCTCCGGTTCCGGTTGGACGACGGTGCCTGGGGCTCCTGACCATCCACAGCAGCTTGGGATCCCCTCCACCATCTACAGCGGTTAGCACCCCACTGGACGGATTCCTGCAGAACTAGGATCACGGCTATACTGATGGGCTATTTTATCACTTCCACATTGTGAGTTTTACCATTTGTGGCTTATTAAATATCTTTTTATACTGCAATTAGAAGCCGTCTCTCTCTCTTTCCTTATTATAATCTTATGGGAAGAATGCTGTTGAAATTAATGGACTGGCGACAGGGTCTCTTTAAAAGGGTTTGTTTTTAATTTAAAAAAAAAAGTACTCTGTACAGTACATGAACACTATTCTATCATTTTAACACCTTCCCACCCAGTCTATAGCAGATTGACGGCCAGGCGGGACGCTCCTCCTTCTGAGTGGACACCATATAACATCCTATCAGAAGATGCCGTGGTGCTGTGCAATGGCACGATCTGTCACCGGCTGTGTCCATGGACAATCACAGCAGGTCACATGACAATTATTGTATACAGTGGATGGCTTCCTTTCATGCCATCTATTGTATACAGTTGTGTTGTTAGCTGTGATTGGCCACAGCAGTCACATGGTACAGAGGGCGCACAGGCCTAGTGCATTACCATAAAAAATAAAGTAGTTGTTGTACTCACAAACGACAATATAGTCAAGGCACATCATAAAGAGCAGCTGGATCAACACCGCGCTGAGTAACAGTCCGCAATAGGGAGTGTAGACATCCAATAGGCTGACACGTGTCGAGGACTTGCCTCTTCTTCAGAGCCCTCAGGCAAGTCCTCGAAACGCGTCAGCCTATTGGATGTCTACACTCCCTATTGCGGACTGTTACTCAGCGCAGTGTTGACCCAGCTGTTCTTTATGATGTGCTTTGACTATATTGTCGTTTGTGAGTACAACACATACTTTATTTTTTACTAAACATTTTTTATGGTAATGCACTAGGCCTGTGCGCCCTCTCTTTGTTCTTTCCTCATTCAGTATATTTGGATTCCCGCGGTCTATTTTGAGGGCAGCAAGGTGTGCATGTTCCAGGACATTCTTAATGTGGTTGTAGCCTGCATCGAGTCCATTCCCAAGCGCAGGAGCATTTGTGTTTGCTGGTTCTTTAGTCACATGGTACACACAGGACCAATCGCAGCTCATCTGTACTATGGTAACATTGTATTGTTCTGGTCACAGTGTGTTGAAAAAACAATATAGTAAAAAAAAAAAAGTAATAAAAAAGTAAAAAAATTATGGAACAAATGTATTTATTTATTTATTTTTTTACATACTGTAACCAGTCAGTGTCCCTGATCACCGCCACACTAGTTATATGATAATGCTGTACTGGCGTGGTGACAATATGTAAAAAAAAAAAAAAGTGAATTTTTTTTTTAATTTCTTCATTTCCAAAAATTTGTGGCAAATTACAACTTAAAAAACTCGTCATGCCGCTTACCAAATACCTTGGATTGTCTATTTTCTAAAAATGGGTCATTTGGGGATATTTGTATTATCCTGCCATTTTCGGGCCTCAAGAAATGAGATTGGCTGTCAGTACATCAGGATCGATCTATTGTCAGATATATATATCCCATAGTTTGTAGACTCTATAACTTTCCTACAGACTAAATAATATACACTAATTTGATTAATTTGGGGTATTTTCACCAAATAAATTTATCAGAATACATTTTGACCTAAATTTATGAAGAAAGGTTATTTATTTGCAAAATTTTATAACCGAAACAAAGAAAAACATGTTTTGGTTTTTTTTTGTTTTGTTTTTCTAAGTTTCGGGGGTTTTTGTTTAGCAAAAAATGAAAACCTAATTGGTGATTAAATACCACCAAAATAAAGCTCTATTTGTATGAAAAAAGTATAAACATTTTTTATGGGTACAGTGTTGCATGACCGCACAATTGTCATTCAGAGTTGAAAACTGAAAGCTGAAAATTGGCCTGGGCAGGAAGGGAGTAAAAGTGCCCGGTATTGAAGTGGTTAAACTAATCCAATTTTAAAATATCTCTTTATGCTCCTCCCATACCTGTAGACCAATTGTGTATGCAGTGAAGCCTGCCCCAAATTCTTCTAATATTTGTCACAGCTCTGTCCTGTCCTCCCTCCAGGATGGACCGGCCCCCTAGCAGTACAAGAGGGAACGCCATCCTCCTTCCAAGCCCTACACATGTGCAGTGTGCTTTTTCTGAGAAGAAATGCTCAGCGACTGCAATGGGAGAAAGAGCGCTTTAGCTGCTTGGGGTCATCTCCGGCGACAGAAGATAGCAATGCGTATGTGCAGGGATCGGAGGGACAGCGCTCAATCTTGTACCACAAGAGGCACTCGTCTTCATGGCTGATCTGTCCTAGAGAAGAGGACAAGATGGAGCTGTAAACAATAGCAGCGTTTGCAGGAGGCTTGCAAGTGGCCTACATTTGTAGGAGGAACATAAATGGGTATTTTTAAAATTAGATTAGTTTAGAATTATGGAATAATGTTTATGGTCTGTGTAGATTTTTTTTTTTTTTTTTTAACCACTTCAAGTCCAGACACTTTTACCCTCTTTCTGTCCAAACCAATTTTCAGCTTTCAGCGCTATCACACTTTGACAATTGCGCGGTCATGCAACACAATATGAATTTTTTAGCATTTTTTTTGAGACATTTAAAACTTTATTTTGGTGGTATTTATTCACCACTGGGATTTTTTTTTTTTGCTATATAAATGAAAAAGTCCAAAAATTTGGAAAAAAAAGTGTTTTTCTTATAACATTTTGCCAATAAATAATCTTTCTTCATAAATCTTGGCCAAAATGTATTAATTTATCTTTTTAGTAAAGAAAAAATAACCCAAATTAGTTTATAACCAAAAAATTATAATTTTTCAACATTTCTTTTTACTTTTTTTTTAGATTTTTTTTAACACGCTATCACCCTAGCAGTACCATGTGACACTGTACTACTTGTGGGGGGTGATGATTTTTTTTTTTTTTTTTTACACTGATTGCTTTTACACCCATAAAGGCTGTAAAAGCAATCATTTCTCCTTCTCTCTGGCTGCATTCTTGAAATACTGTGAGAGCTGTGATTGGTCACAGTTTGTCATATGGTACAAGGCTTTTGTGAATAGCCTTGTACCATGTGACCTCTGTGATCATTCACAGATTTCACTAGTAGTAAGCAATGATGTCAGGAAGTGACATCTTGGTTACTACTATTCATGTGATCACTGATTGGCTAATCATTGGTCACATGATCGAGACCTCCCATACAGTGATCGGTGTTCCGCTGTGTTCTCCGGACACAGCAGGCACCGGATCGCTGTGCCGCTCACTCCCAAGGAGCGCGCACAGCTTGAAAATGCAGGCGCTGTTTATGAACGGCAACCCGCTCCTGCACTGCTCCCATCCAGCCGTTTATGTACATGGGCCAGACAGGAAGTGGTTAAGGGCGTACCGATCCTTTAAAGTCTTCAGCAAAGCTGGCTGAAAACTTTGCAAATGCTTTGTAAGTGCTTGCTGTACACACTGCTCTTACACATACAAAAACACATGTATACAAACATCGGCAAAATGTAACAAGTCTATGTAAATATGATTGACAACGTATATTTTATCTTGTATTGCAAAGTCAGATTTGTCAGAAATGTGCAGATAAAAACACACGTTTTCTGGTTTATATTGGAGCAATAGATAATATCAGCCTCCTAATCCTTATTTGCTAATCTGTTCTTGAATTGTCCATTCTAAGTGCAGCAACCAGAAGCCGATCTTGTCACCAAAGTCATCCGATTCCTTTGCAGTTAGTACAAGGAGTGTCTTAATTTCCAGCCTTCAACTCTACTTTGAGCTGTCTCACTGCTCCGCTTCTCTCTTTCTCCTTCCTCTTTCTCTCAGGACTGCAGCTGAACAAAGCAGTAGGTTGGCAAAGTATAGAACGCTTCGGTAATCTGGGTGATCCCCATGAAGTAAGGCTGCCTTTGCACATCATCATTCTTTTTGGTCAACATGCATGCTGACCACCCTCCATGTCACCATCCCCTTGTTTCCAGTCTTTCATCTGTGCTCACCAGTCATTACTAAACACCAGGCATGGGGCTTTTGCAAACTGACTTGTTCTGAGTGCTGTAAAAATGGAAAATGCTGGCTCTTCGCCTCAGAAGAGGGTCACTGATCTATTTCCAGTGGCTTTAATCTTGTCTGAGGTTGGAGGAACAAGCTTTGTGCTTTTTGTGTGCTTGAAGAGGCGCCCTCTAACCCCTCACCGCTAACATCACTACACCTCCATCTGGTGTGTTATTAATATCAACACTGACTCTGCTTCTAATGCATGTCGCAAGACGTTTCAGACAATTGTAGGGCCTGTGGAAGAGTGTGGGACACCAGTACCAATCTACGGCAAATGTGGATTTATATTTTTTCGGTGTAAAGTGTTTCTTAGCATGTTGTGGTATGTAGCAGATCGTCACAATAAAAATAAGAGCAGCGCTTGTTATAACCCTTCCCGCATGTTTAACGATTATTTAGAGCTTACATTCTTTTTAGTTGGTTTTGGACAGAGTGGGAAGGGTTTAAACTTGCCATTTTTTTTTTTCCCGGGATGGGGGTTGTTGTGGTCTTCCACCCTTTCTATACACCCCCTGTAACATAAGACAAAACAAGGGGAAACATCTTCTTAGGCATTTTTAACCAAAATAGTACTTCATGTTTCACCTGGACCAATCACAAAGCCTTAAACATCTGGAGATAGGTGGGCTGATGTCTCTCTGAGACCATGGGAAGGGAGACATTGTGCTGTCCCTCTCCCAGTGCTGATTTTTGTGGGACTCTGATGAACTGCACTATGAATGAAGCAGCACGCATTATTTATTTAAAATGATAATTTTGTTATATTAAAATGCCGATACAAAAGCATTGTGACATGAACATATTTTAGGGCCAAAAAGGCGATGGAGCCCAAAGTACATTTTAATTGTCAATGACGGCTTTTTCTTTTTAGAAGCCAACTTTATTAGTGAGTTAGCAGTAGTCACCATTGATGTAGTTAAAGTGGTTGTAATCCCTTCCATATATCCAGTGAAGTGACTGGCCTCAAGTGATACACAGAGATGAAACAAGTCCTCCTACATCAGTTGTACCTGTTTATTTGCAGCCATTTGTCATATACAACCCTGTAAAACTCAGAGATGAAAAGGACCTTTCACAGAGTGGCAATTCAGGGAGTTGCAGTTATAGACTGTACAAAAGCTCTGAGAGCTGATTGGAGGGAAGGGACACACCTCCCTCCATACAGCACACAGGTACAGAGCTGAGGCTGTCAATCAGCTGGAGGTCCCTCCCTTGTCACCATTTTTCTCTTGGTGTCAGTACAACTTGCAAGAAGGGACTGATCACAGGGGAATTAGACAGCAGAGAGAAATGACTTTCAGTGCTTTGGAGACAGGCAAGTAAAAACTATAGAAATACTGTATATGCTTGTTCAGATTTCATGTCTGAGGTTTACAACCACGTTAGGGAGATGACAATGTCCCTCACTAGGGTATTGTTTTACATGCTTGTTTCCTGACATAGGTTACAATTATGGATACGTACCTTTTTTTATTTTTTTTTGTTCAACTCCCTATCTTATATTGAGGTGAAGCTGTTAAGTTTTTCCAGTGAGCCCATTTTTCAGCCCTTCACCAACCTAAAATGGCCAGTTACACAAACCGTAAACAAGATACAGGTAATGATGGTGATAGAATATGAAAACCTAGCTCTGAAAATAAAGACACTTGTACACGGATGGCTAAAAAGACATGTTTTTAGGCATTCAGGCATTGTTTTGTTTTTTTTCCCCAGCTAATCTAAATGCAGCCCATTGTTTTTAATGGGCCTGTACACACAGGTGTGAACACTGGTACTGCTTATAGATCAATAAAAAAAAAATACAAAAATCTACTTTGCTGATCAGTATTTTTTACATGCATATGCCACATCTCAGGAAAAACTAGAAGAATTGTTGTTTGCATTTACTGTGCAGCTCATCCTCATGGTTTTAAACCGGAACTTTCTGCCAGGAATCTGATGTTCACACATCAGTACAGTGTTCAAGAACCCCAAATATGATAGCTATATTGATGAAAGGCAGTTTGGTTTTATGCTTTAGTGGTTCAATGTTTGTGGACATATTAAGAGATGGATGGCTGTGTATGAGGTGAATTTCCAGAAGGCTGTCTTTTCTTTTTTCCATTGGTAGAGGTGTGAGTCTGGACCTGCCTATTAATAAAAGAACTAGCAGCAACTTTAAACTAATAACTAATATAAAAAAGTTTTATTGTAGTTCATTTTTTTTATTTTAACATGTATTACTATGTATTTTCATTTCTTTAGAACACCCACAAGTGGAGAAAAGGACACAAAGAAAACACATTAAGATGCCAGAGCTGGTTCATTTGTACAAGTTCAAACTGCAGTCCCTATTGATTTTTTTTTTTTTCTTTTTTTTTTTTAAATGTGCCCAAATTTGTGTCTTTTGCACTGATCGTCCTGTGACAGTCCCTCCATACTATTGTTGCCCTTCTACGTTGAAACCACTGTGAGATCCATTCCAGATATTGATGACTTCATCTTCTGCCTGGGGAGGCCGCGGTTCAGACGTTGGCTTGAGTTGGTCACTTGAGCAGCTTCATACTTTGACAAACCATTGACATTGAGTGGTTGGGGGCTGGCACTTTTTTTGTGTTTGGGGCACCAGAAGTGAAATGGGGAGGAGAGGAATTGGGACTTTAATATGTTCTTCTCCAGAAAATAAATTGGAAGGTGAGAGGGATTTGATTGCTTTGTGATTCATTTTAATCTCACTGCTACACCTGACACTTTAACTTGATTTTTTTTTTCTTTATTTAAACAAATTTCATACAGTCATGGGAACAACAATAGAGCTGACCAAAAAGTAAAAGTCTCAAAATATACCACAGCATGAAGGAACACACAAGGCAAAAGACCACACTAACTTGAGATTTGGACAACTACCTTGTTTTGAGGCTGCATTCTTCAGGGCTACCAACTCTTTTTTGTTTTACTATTTAATGAGTCACTGACCTGATCACTTCTCTGCCTTTTGGCTAAGATCAAGTGTAGCATCTGTTCTGATCAGTGTCCAGTAGGGGCGCTCCGCCGTCATTCTTGTTTTTTGGCGAGGATGGCTGGCTGTATAGAACCCCTGCTGGTGTGATGGTGGCTCTGAAGGTTAGTACCAGCTGGAAGAGAAACCAAGGTACCCACAGTCTGTTGGGGCCCGGGAGTAATTTCCCTGGGAAAACTGGAGGGGCCCAGTTCTTCCTGATTTGAATGGGTCTACCTTGTCTGGGGAAGCATAGTCTGTGGAGCAGTGCCCCCTGAGAGTGGTCACCTCCGGGGGGGCTCTTAGTAGCACATGGGGGTGGGATCCCAAGTGTGAAAAGTAGAAATGGTCACTGTTCTAAACACTTTTTCTGCACTGCGCCTTTTAGGGCTAGGCCTTTGGCTAAGTCCAGGGCAATTTCTTTTGCTACGGGCCTCAGGGCCTAGCCAGTGCACAATTGCAGGGACACTTATTTATTTTTTTCCTCACTGTTTTGTCACCTTTCACTTTTTGTGTTTTTTTGGGGGTTTTTTCTCACTAGGATGGAGGGGTGTGGGTCCTCAGGCCTGCCTTAGGGGGAGGATGCGTGGCCATTAGGTTCCTTCCTCTCCTGTTCCTGGGGGGGTCTCTCTTCGGGAGAGCTCCCTGACCTAGTAGCCACAAGGAAAGGGGTTTGCCAGGCTTTTTGGCTAGGTGGACCATGTTGGAAACCCCTTGTCCCTGTCAGGAGCCTTGCGCCCCAGGGGATCAGGGTAAAGGTCCTACCTTCTGGGGGGATGGACAAAAGCACACCATTAAGTGCACTTTTTTGTGTGTGTGTGTTTTTGCACTTGCACGTTTTTTGTATACTTGAAGTTTTTTCACACCTCCGTGGAAAAAAAAAATTGAGTTACTGACCTGGAATCAACCTAAAGGCGGTGAAGTGTCCTGACACCTGATGTCCACAGCTGTTCAAGGTGACAGCAATTGCAGCTTTCATATATCCTGACATGTCTCTTTAGAACTAGACCCATTTTAGACCCAAGCTATAGACAATTTTTCCTGCTGCAGTTAATGCTACTCCAATCACCTGCATTTACAGTGTCTTGAAAACGTATTCATACCCCTTGAAATTTTCCACATTTTGTCATGTTATAACCAAAAACGTAAATGCATTTTATTGGGATTTTATGTGATAGACCAACACAAAGTGGCACATAATTGGGAAGTGGAAGGAAAATGATAAATGGTTTTCAATATTTTTTTACAAATAGATGAAAAGTGTGGTGTGTATTTGTATTCAGCCCCCCTGAGTCAATACTTTGTAGGACCCCCTTTTGCTGCAATTCCAGCTGCAAGTCTTTTTGGGGATGTCTCTACCAGTTTTTCACATCTAGAGAGGGACATTTTTGCCCATTCTTATTTGCAAAATAGCTCAAGCTCTGTCAGATTGGATGGAGAGTGTCTGTGAACAGCAATTTTCAAGTCTTGCCACAGATTCTCAATTGGATTTATTTCTGGACTTTGGGCCATTCTAACACATGAATATGCTTTGATCTAAACCATTCCATTGTAGCTCTGGCTGTATGTTCAGGGTTGTTGATGGAAGGTGAACCTCTACCCCAGTCTCAAGTCTTTTGCAGACTCTTATCAGGTTTTCTTCTAAGATTGCCCTGCATTTGACTCCATCCATCTTCTCATCAACTCTGACCAGCTTCCCTGTCCCCGCTGAAGAAAAAAAAGAAAAACATCTCCGCAATGATGCCACCACTATGTTTCACGGTGGGGATGGTGTGTTTCAGGGTGATGTGCAGTGTTTGTTTTCCGCTACACATAGCGTTTTGCTTTTAGGCCAAAAATTCCAT